TCAATTAAATATTTGAAACTGCAATGCCAACGACATTGATTTGAACACCGCAATTTTAGCGAGCTTAGCAGTGACGTCATAACTCATGATTTGTCATTTGCTTGTATTTTTTGTTCGGTTAATGTCAAGTTTTGGACACACCAACTGTTTGTTAGTATTTATAGTTATGTTTATTACTACGATTTGTAAACTTCCATTTTATAGCGGACTGACCAATCAAGGGTTGCCTGGTCATAAATCGCAAATGGTGACATCATACCTGTACTGTTACGTTTGTATGTGCGTATTCCATTTTTTATTCATTAATACACGTTATATTATGCGGCTCAATTATAAAATAAGGTTGAAGGCATCATTTTGCAGCAAAAAATTCTAAATTGAAATGATTATGCAATAATTTGAAGCACATGCATATTCCCTAAAAACAGCATCCAATGTGTCTTGTACACATTATGACTTCAGCCAAATTTGAACCTTATCGTATTCAGGATTTCACACTTCTATACGGCTCTGTTTTTTTTTTTCGAAGGTTCAGTTGGGAGTAAAACCCAGGTTTGGAATACTGCTCTCACACCTGGGTAACTACCATAGCGACTAGATTCGCGAGTCAGAAGAGGGCAATATGATAGTAATTGGTGACACTTCCTTATGTTTATTTTCTATATTCGAAATATGGGATGCCAAACATTTCTTAGAATTCAAATTTGAAATATATATTCTTGTGAAAATCTGGGTAATTTATAGATGTTTCGATGGATAATTAAATTAGAACTATAAGGAAAAACCGCATCCATAAAACCAAAGCATGATTTTTACGAAACAACAAATTTTCACAAATGTTTTTGACACCTTGTATCATGGAAACAGAGAATTACAAGATCTACGATCGTATGAACTATTTAAAAGAACGTAGGGAACATACCTAGTTGATTGGCTAGGTACTTTCTCAACATCCTGTATGATTGTCGATAATAATTAAATGATGGATAGTTAACAAAAATAAACAATGCAAATGACCACATTACTTTTGGATTTTCTAATAGTTTTTTGATTTGTCCCTTCTACAATGACCTTCAATGGACGCTTATGAACAGGTTGTCGACCTGTGCAGTGATAGCGCATCGAGCAGTGCTTATCAACGCGCCCCGCTTACCTTCCCTGGTACTGCCCAACCCTCCTTATTTTCAATGGGTACGGCCTGAGCCAGGTTGCCAGATAGCCAAAAAAATCCCCAAGTATCCTCAAGTATAAGAATAAGTGGCCAGTGGCGTATATAAGGAAGGGCCGGAGGGCCTGTAACCGGGAATTGAATTTGAACCAGTTAAAGTCAACCAATTGATCTGAAATTTTGTAAGCACGTTTGGTTTGCATGATAATATAAAATAAATTAACTGCGGTTATTTTTAATACAATTTGGCGGATGCTACAAAATGGCATTTGTAGAAAGTAAAATAAAAAAAATTAAAAACAAGCTTTTATTTAGCTGCACTGAACTTAAAAAATGTAAATATACTTTTTCCAATGGGAAGTACTTGAACGATCCTTCATTTCAACTTTTCAAATAAAAACGTGTTACACACATTTTTCCATCCTGCTATCAAAACCTAAAACGCTTTTATTTGAAAACTTGAGTTGAAGAAGCTACATTATCGTTTAAATATTTCTATTAAATAAATTATTTTTAAATTTTTTGTTCATTTTATGGACAACTAAATAAAATCTTGTTCTTAAAAGTATATTTTTTTATACTAAGTGACATATAAATCCGAACACCCAGTTTAAATGGTTTTATTTTAATAAAATTTTGTATAAGTACTTGATGAAGCATAATAAGTAAATGATAAAAATTTCAAAATGATTGCACTGCTTTAAAGCCCTTTGACCTTTAATAATGTGTGGATGCACCCTGATGTGCTACGCATTCTCCAACGCGCCTAGGCATGCTTCTGATCAGGTGGTCAATGTCCTCCTGTGGTATCTCATTCCAGGCAACCACCAACTCCTTTCGAAGTGCTTCTATAGTCTGAGGAGGACGTTGCAAATTGAGCAATCTCCTACCCATCATATCCCACACGTGATCAATTGGTGATACGTCGGGAGATCTTGGTGGCCATGGTAACAATGTGACATCATTATGTTGAAAGAAGTCTATTGTGACTCTTGCAACATGTGGTCGGGCATTATCTTGTTGGAAAGTTGGATCTGCCAGGGTGTCAAGATAGGGTAAAAGATGGGGTTCTAGAACTTCGTGGATATAACGCTGCGCGTTCATGTTACCTCTGATGAAGATTAAAGGTGACCTGGAACCATAAGCTATAGCACCCCAAACCATACCTCCAACAGTGTGATGAACATGTCTTTCAACAAAAAACTGTGGATTCCTCCTTTCACCACGTCGCCTTCTAACCCTGGCACGACCATCGTGCATGCCTAAACAAAATCGAGACTTGTCACTAAAGACAATACTGTTCCATTCCTGATCCCAGAGTGACCGTTGTCTGCACCACTCAAGGCGATTACGTCGGTGTTCTCGAGTTAAAGGGAGGACCCAGTGTGGCCGGTATGAAAACAAGCCAAAACTTCTCATTCGTCGGTAAACACTTCGCATGCCAATAGGTCTTCCGTGTTCTGCAAACCATTCATTTGCAATGGACCTGGTAGTGGAGAAACGGTCCCTTAAGGCCAATAATCTTAGGCGGCGATCTTCACGGTCTGTTGTTCTACGGCGGCGTCCAGTGCCCCTTGCTCTTTGCGTACGGCCTTCTCGAAGCCATGCCTGACAACACCTAACCACAGTGTCTACACTTCTTTGCACTCTAACTGCAATTGCCCGAAAAGAAAGTCCAGCTTCCCGAAGTCCCACTATACGGCCCCTATCAAACTCACCAAGTTGACGATGTCAAGAACCAAAATCCGCCAACGTTGATTCTTTACTGCGGCTGAAATATTTATTTTTAGAGCGTTAGTGAATTAAAAAAAAAGCAGTATAAAAACCGGAATGTCCAACTGATAAGGCTGAAAATTTTTTCACTTGTTATTTACATGATAAATACATTCACCAACTTTTATTAAAATAAAACCATTTAAACTGGGTGTTCGGATTTATATGTCACTTAGTATATTTTATTTTAGGTGAACTATTTATTGATTCATAGCGAAATTTGCAAAATAGTAGCTAATTCGCATGTTCCATGTTCGTGAATTGGGGTGCTTTGGAACTGAAGGGTACTCTCGGTTTCAATATTTTTACGGCTATTATGTATTTATTACGGTTCTAAATGCACTATTCTATATCCAAAAAATTTCAGCTCAGACCGTGAAGCATTGTGTCATCTTTTTTCTCGCACTGTGAGTAGAAATCGATTAACAAATTGTGTATGATTTTTTCAAACTCGTAAATGGTAGCTTCAAACATTTAGAAGACGTTTTTAAATCTTTAGTAGTCATTTTTATATTTTATTTTGTATAAATCTTTGGCGAGTGCTCTAGTGGAATGTATATGTATTTTTATTAACTTTCCTCCGGTATTTTTTTTTAATTACGACACGTCAAACATCCTGAATACTACACGTTTTTTCCCGCTGCAACAGAAAAAGTGTACTTAGCTTTTCGGAAAATCAGGCTTATGTTGGCTTCGAAATTCTAGAAGACACTCATAAAAATAAAACTAAAATGTATCCTGCGAAACATTTTCTAATTGGAAATGAGGGTACATATCTTTTTACTTTATGTAACGATCTGCAGCCCGTATACGAGCGAGAAGAGCTGGTTAGTACGACTGTTTCTATATATAGGCATATGCCTAGAGTATCGGAAATGTGGAAAACCTTCCAAAGCAAGGTTTCTCAAGTTCCATTGATATATAAGCTCTTTGTTATTTAATAAAACCAACAATTTTGGTGAAATATTATGCATGAAATCGCGGCCATCATCCAATGTTATTTGGTCGGTTTTTGGGTAGTTAGGCCGTCGTAAGCACAGTGGTTGGCGAAACGTCAAATTAAAAGATTTTACGACTACCCAAAAACCGGCCAAATAAAATATTATGCATGTTTATACAAATAGATATTGAAATTGTCAGTTAGGTAGAGAATTGTTATTTGACCTAAATCGGTTTGATTCACTATTTGTTAAGAATTCAAAACTCTCACATTATGTTTTATACCTTTTTAGAAAGTTGACTATATGAGCAAAGTTTCTTAGGAATTTGTACGCCCAATGTACCAAAAATTTTTAAACCTAAAACCCAATTTCGTTCCAAAGAAGACTGAAAACAGAAACTGTTTTATTCTTTGGAATAGCTATTATTTTATCGTGTTTAATATATCTGCAATTTATAACATATGGCTGTATTAGTTTAATTAAAGTAAAAACTAAGACCAACTAAATTTTCGCACATCTCTTACATAACCGTTTTATTCTTTAGACTTAAATGCCCAATTTCGGAAGACTGTTAGAAAATCGCAAAAATTGAAAAATCCCGAAAACTGTTGATTTCCGCTCATATAGTCAAAATCACGAAAGATGACTATTAGTTCATACCATAAATTGTACTGAAGTAATCAATGAACGTTCGTCGATGATAAAATCACGATATCAGGAACATAATGACCACACATTTATATTATGATTTTGCGCTAGCTTATTTCACTAATTATTTTTATTTTCATTTTATTTCATGGTTTTGAGTGATACCTTAATAATAATTTTAGTGGGGGTTTTTGTTTAAAAAACAGTTATGAGTACAATACCTTAAGACAGGAACACCAAAGACCAAAGTATTATTCGAAAACAACCTAACCTGCTTTAACATAACCTAACTATTCATCTTTCAAATATGATGGATCATGCAGCATGAAAACATCGTCTATCTTTGTCGGATACATGCAAATTTGCAATAAAGTTTGTTTATACAATAAAATTCTGTTTGTCTCTGTCTAACATATCTGAAACTTCATTAAAAATATTCACAAATCGCTGTCGTTTGTCTTTACTACAGACTAAAATGATGACGTAATCGTCATCTTCCGTGATTTCGACTTTATACGTACACATATAGGGTGAACTTTGTATCAGATTAGGTCCCTATCACACGCTGGAAGAAATGCGGCGAATTACCTCAACCTTGTGTTATAAGTTTAAAGGCAAACAATAGATACGGTCAACTTAAAATTTGAATTTCTTCCATGGCCGAAAAACTCCCTTATCGCCTCTCTTATTTGAAATCCTGAAGTACCTAATGTGACACCTTATAACTCGCGTATGCGCTTTGTATTTCTGTATTACGGCTTCGCTTTGATCGGTTCAGTGTAAAAAACACAACTCCCTCGTAACATAAACCGACGGTATAAACAGCCAACTTTGTTTTTTTTTGCATTACCACACTAGATCAAGGGCAAGTATTATTTATAATTTTTGCTCGTTTTGTAACTGTTTAACAAAATATTTGTCATGTAAGCTTTTTTTGCTTGGGGACACGGTGCTGCAAAACGACCTATTTTCAGTCACAGTTCATCCAGTTGTCCAACCGAGTGTGTATTTTTTCAAACAAAAAAGAATGTCGAAAGTAAGTTTAAAATAGTACTTTTATGTATACCGGGGCAAGTCCGGGAAATTTCATCATTTTTACATGAAACCTAAAAATCCATTCCACTCTTTAATTGTGTGGCTTTTTTTCAGGTGCAGTTAGCATACATTTTGATCTGTGTTGTTTTTGGGACCAGAGCAGATGAAGTACCAAGCTCTGTGGATATTCATCAAGGGGCTGTGGGTCTGCCGCGTACAGGTAAGAAAAATAAAAAGTTAATTTTCTAGCTTGATCTCAGAGTTTTGGTTTCTATGAATCACCCTCTTAACGATAATATTTATCACGTGTAACAGATTTTGTTGCAAAATCTTGTGGGGCGGGTGTTCTAGGGGTTCGGACCCCCTCCCGAAATGGCCGAGCTTAAAAGAATTATTTCGAACGACTTCTCTATTTGCAGACAAGCCCCCCTCAGCCGGAAATCTTCTTGAACACGAATCCTAAATCTTCAAAATCATCATAATGGACCCCCTTAAAAAACATTTTTTAGATTCGCCTTGGAAGATGTCTAAATACAGGTCTGGAAATGCTTTGTTCTCAAGCTTGTGAAATTTCTTTTATTACAGTCCTATTGCCGAAAATTTAAGTGAGAAAGACGAATGGTCATGGTCAACTATGTCGCAAGATTTTTACCTTTGAAAGTTTGGATTTTATTGGCTCATCTTTCTTGTTGCACTTAATTTAAACCAGCGTTATATCTGTGCTCATGAAAATTCTCAGAGACTTAATAAAACAAGCTGAATTATTTGGTTTTTTTACGAAAAATCGATATTTCAAATAAATTTTGGTCTCCTGTATGTATTTTGACAACGAGGCATTATCGAACATTTATAAATATATAAATATTTATATAAATTTAGCGCCTCAAAATGATTCAAGGAATCACCACTTGAGATTTAGCCAAATACTTTATTAACACCCTGTATATCCCATGGTCACCAGTGATATCTTTCACAGTTCTTATTCGCTTTATTCATAGGCGTAGTTTTATAATTCAACCATTGTACGTATATAGTAAAAAAATATAGTCTTTCCTAAACCGCTATAGTTGGGATGTTTTTTCAAAAATCATTTTTTTCATCTTCCAAAGAAACAATCACAAACTTGGTGCTATGGAAGAGACTGAGGCTTGATTTTAGTTCTTAGTATTCGATTGACTTTCTGAGCATCAGTCAAACAAGAAAGAACCATTACCAAAATAATAATTGGCCTTATGCTAGTTATTTATCTCATATATAACCTCTGTATACGTATTTTTTGTAATTCAAATATTAATGTTTTATACATCCATTGTGAGATATGTATACCTACTCTGAAAGCGACTTTTTTGCAGATATCCACGTTGCCGACATCACTACCAAAGTAGAAGACACCCCCGTCAAACCAGAGGATTCACCATCAGTTCAAGGTCATGCAGTTGTCACAGAAAAATCTGAACACCCTAAGATAGAAACCAGAGTGCTTGAAGCTGAAACAATTGCAGCTCAGGAAAAATCAGACGTAACTACTTCTGAAGATGCCAAGACAGAGCAAGTGCAACCTGCTAAAATGGAAGCCAGGATACTCACCAACCATATAACTGTTGATGGAGATTTAATGGGACTAACCAATGAGAAAGGTAAGATTTTCCTTTTGTTTTTAACGTTGCTTCAAACAAAATTGCGTTAAATAGCTTGACGCTGTATTAGTCTCGCGCAAATGTAAGTCAATTTTCGAAAAAGTTTCGGTTTAGGTTTTGTAATTGTGGATCTTTTGGAATTCTACCTAAAACATATTGATGCAGATGTTTCTGGCTTTACAAATTCTTCGGGGGCAGATTAAACGTAATTAGTGGTATATGCAACTCCAAAGTAATATAAGATATGTCTGAATTCAGAATTTATTAGTTCCTTGAAGATGTAGATGAATGCGCTTTAAAGTGACTTGAAAGTTGGAAAATATCGGAAACGAGATCTAAGATTCTTTTGCTGACTCTTCGAAAATATGCCGAAAAATTGTTAGTTAATCTAAAATCGCATAGGGCTCGTTTTAAAAGGAGCGGATCCATAAGAGGTACTTAATTGTTCCCAGGTTTTATAGGTATGTGTTTTGTGTTTTAAGCACTAAAACAAACGAAAAATGTTGATGCAACTTTAAAAACAGATGTTCTGAATATTTAAATGTTTAGATGCAAACAAGTTAAGATTTGAGTTATTTTCACTTATATTCTAATTATTCCAGTAGTCAGTCGTTGCTCAAACGTCTAATCGTGAGAAATGAATTAAGGTCCGAGTATAGGTATGTGAATGCATACAAAAAGTACCGGAACAGTTGAAACTTGATAATAAGAAATTAGTGGCCACCCCTGTTTTTATGTATAATAACCGTTTTTTTCTTATTGTCTATCTGCATTAAAATGACCACCCCTTTTTTATATGACAACCGTTTTTTTTCATTGTTTATAGCAGAAGAAGTGGAAGAAGGTCCGGTACCATGCACCTGTGGGGTGTTCCTCAGCGGTCAATTCAAAAAAGGGCACAAGACGGAACCAAAGGGCGAACCCATCCTGATGCAGGAAATGGACGCACCCTTTGCCAACAATGCGGTGGGAAGCAGGCAGTGTACCAGCAAATGCATCGAAACGGTACGTTAACCAAAGGGTGGGATTATAAGGAGAAGGGCCTACCTTCAAATCAGTTTCGTCCTTCGTAGTAGTGGTACTGCATACAGAATGTTTCCATAACGTAGGGCAACATTTCAGAGTCATTATAAGCGGTTAGTTCGTAACATAATGCAGGAAATGAACACGCTTTTTGCAAAAAAAAACAGCAAATGCACTGGAATGACAAGTTGACCGAGGGGTGGAACTATGGGCAGGAGGGCCTTCTTACAAACCAGCGTCTGGCTATTCATAGGGCAAGTGCTCTCAAACTTATTTCGCCTACGGTCCAATTGGAGAATCAATTATTTTCTAGCGCTCGCCGAAGCTGTTCAAGATGTCTGTCTGGGAGGGTGCATGCGGGGGAGGAGTGGCGGCGTCGTCTGCTGCATAAGTGCTTATGAGAACGAATGTCCTTATGAGAATTAAAGAGCGGGGAAGCGGAGAATAAAAATTATTTATTTATTTGTTTAGCAACATTCAACAGCCGAAACCAATTACAGGATGGATGAACATGAAGATAAAAAGAAAATGCACATAAGAGGAGGATGTGTTGCAGAAAAAGCTGGAAAGCTGAAAAAACCTCAAAACAAAACTCGGAGAGAAAAAAGCTTTCTAGCTTTACCTATATTCCACACAACAATCAAACCAGGAACCATGAACGCATTAACGACTCAAAGTGGAACAAAATGAAAATATACCTAAAACGCTATTAACTAAATTATAATTACGACTCATTATATACAGAGGCGAAAATTTAAATATGTCAGCATGGCTAAGTGAAAAATTGCACTATTTCGTGACGGTAATCTAGGAATGAAGAAGTTTAGGCTTTCCAAACATGACACTGAAATCTACAATGCCATGGATAAGTTTGTGAAGAAACAGATCTTAATATGTATTGCGTCTGCTCTCTAAACTACAGATCTTATATCTCACCAGGAACTCGCTATGATGAAAGCTAATTGCAGGTCATATCCTATCCACTTTGTATGAAAAATATTTGAGAACTTTCTCTGAGTGGACTCTCAGCAGTCAGTATAAATTTTATGGTGAGGATAAAAGACCAGAGATGCATACTCAAACTTAGATCTTTCGTAGGCATAGTACAGTATCTCCAATGTGAAATATTTATGCAAAGTATTTCTGACAATAAAGCCTTTGATACAGTCACAACATTTTCAATTTGAGAGAAGAAATAAAGTCTTCTGTCAAGTTTCCTGCCACCAAATACATGACACTACTCATCAGCATTCAAAATTAATCTGTTTTCTCTCCCCAATATACTTACAGCTATTCCCCCCCCTCCCGTAGGTCCCCAGTGTCCACATTGAGAAACACATAGGGTGTACACAAAATTTCGTTGGGTCTTGCTCAGCGGTCAGTCCATTGTGAGCAATAAAACGTGCTTTTTCTCGAAATTGTAGAAAAATATACAAAATGAAAAAAATACAATTTTTATATTTTCAGATTGTGAAGCACTTGCCGAAAAGTAACGAGATTGTATGCGCTTCAGTCGACAGAGACAACATATACAGAGAAAGGGCATACCTTTTCATCAAAAACTACAGCGATAGGTGGCAACACACCAACTTGTCAGCGGGAAGAGAATTTTGCTGCAGAAATAACACGCCTTATAAATGTCATTAAACTAATGAATAAATTTCAATGAAACACTTGTTTATTATTCGCACAATTTGCGATGATCCATGTTCCAAACTTGAAGGATCATAGCTCCAAGAGGAGTGACGTTGAAAAAAGTCAGTGAGAATCACACAGTATCTAAGCTTCTGTTGTGTGTGTCACTGGACAAGTTCATAATCGCTCAAGGCCGTGGCACGCACTGTGAACAAAATTAACTTCAATTTCACTTAGTTTTGGAAAAGCATTAAAACTGGCGTTCCATATATTTTAATATTATAACGTGCTTTTTCCAAATTTTTACTTTGTTACATCGTAGCTTTGTCGCTCGCCATTCCATTGTAAAATGGTGCTCCAGAACGTGTTAGCTCATATGCTGAAACCAACGTTTGAAATTGTCCTTAGTTTTTCAAAATGACGGTACGAGCGGCAAAGATACGAGCTAGTAAAGTAACAACTTGGAGAGCAGAAATGTTACGCAGTGATTTTTTAGATTTCCCATAAATATTCCAGGTGAAACTGCTACATTATTCGGCCAACTAACGATTTCCCGTATATGTATTAGTATTAGACATTACCTCACACGTACGCCGAAACCATCTCACAAAAAAGCTAAGTAAGTATAAAATGTAAGGGTTTTCCTGTAACGAAACGAAAATTTTGTAAAAAACGATTTTTTTTTACTATGCGCGAACGAAAAGACAAGGTGGCAAAGTGAACATCTGAAAAATTCCCAGTAAACAAAATGACTTGCTTTGCAAGAATATCCTCTAATAGCAATATCACGTTCTAAACAAATAACATACCGCACATCAATAGAATATGCTAAGAATATATACTACTCAAAAAAATTACAGGAGCAAGAAAACAATCCAAACTTTTCGGTGGTTTTTGGCAGGCTTTATTTCAGTGAAAAATGGTCGTACCTGGACTTTAAAAAAAGCATTTTGAAGCTTTAAGATTGTAGTTTTCAGGTTTTTTTGGCAGAAAGATTTAAGGAACAACGGTTCTCATTCAATTCTAACAGATGGAGCCAGAAACATTTCTTACAAAATTTTTGCTTTCTTCTTTTTAGTTCACGGGCTTGATAAAGATTTTTTTGGTAGGTCATCATATGGTTCAGATAAACCGTTTAAGCTGCCTCAATATCCTTTTTTTCAAATCTAGATATGACCATTTGGCACGGAGGTATCTGACTTTGAATGAAAAAGGATCCGTTTGTCATCTATCACTGATATCTCGGTGATTTCAATCTTTGAGGATTTTTTTGTTCCCTTGGTATTGATTTTAGAGACGTTAAAAAAGTTACTTTTTGCCTTGTTTTGGAAAATTACCGAATTTTTGGAACTGCTAATGAGAAGGTTGTTTTTAGGTTTTTTCATACCTCAATGTACCCCTAATAGCCCTGCAAGACGGCAGATCGATCCTTTTTACGGTCACCGATTGGTAAAAGTTTGAAATCAAAGGAGCAGAAATACTGACCAGTAGCGGATTTAGAAAATATTTTTTGGGGGGACTCAATTGCGGATTTAGGTCCGTATTTTTGTTTTTTGAAAATTTACATGAATAAAAGAATGACTTGTTTCCAAATATCAAATAGTGACAAGAGAAGAAAAATATTTTTTTCAATTTCAACCAGATTACAGGATATATGTTTTGATATAAAAATCTTTTGATTTCTTCCAAATGTTGACCAATCGGTCCGGAGACACCGTAAAATGGACCGATCTGCCGTCGTGCGGGGTTATTAGGGGTAGATTAAGGTATAAAAAACCTAAAAACATTAGCCTTCTCATTAGCAGTTTCAAAAATTTGGTAATTTTCCAAAACAAGGCAAAAAGTAACTTTTTTAACGTCTCTAAAATCAATACCAAGGGAACAAAAAAATCCTCAAAGATCGCAATTCCAGTTTTCGGAAATACCTTTACATTTTCTGTGCGATCACTAGTTCATCACTGATTCAAATTCAGATATCGCAGCGTCAAATAATCGTATCGAGATTTTAAAAACAGGATATTGAAGCCAACAAGAAAGTATTTTTCGAGGCCGTGGACTAAAAGGAAGGCAAACATTTTACAGGAAATTTCTTGCGCTATCTGCTAGAATTGCATGAGGACCATTGCTTTTAAATTTTTCGACAAAAAAACCTGAAAACTAGAATCTTGAAGCTTCAAAATGCATTCTATATCTAGATACTATCATTTTTCAAGGATCACCGAAAAATTTTGATTTTTTCTTGTTAACTTAATTTTTCCAATTAATGTATTACTCCTATTAGGAGGAAATCTCATACAGTCTAAGAGCGTGCTGCAGCAGCTTTTAGAATATTCGCATCAGGTGATTTGGGAAAATTTTACCAGAGCCAACACATACATCCAATGGTTGCCTATTAGACATCCCCGGTGGATATCGAGGATATTCAGTGGGTGGACAAATACATCCAATGGATATCTGGATCACAAGAATCTGGATATTACAACACTGCTGTTATGTATTTAATACACCAACGGATATCCACTGAATGTCCGTGAAGTATTCAGTGGTTCTAGTTAGAAACACTATACCTGCTTTGGGGATATCCAGATGATCACACCATTAGGCGCGCAAGCCTGTCAAGTCCAATTTCAAAACGAAGAGCGATAACTGAAAACCTAACAAAACAAATTGACCATAATAAAATGTGTATATCATATGTATGCATTCATGTAAAGCCAAGGCCCCGTCTGTCGTATTCTATTCATATAATGCCTGCGTCACTCCATCATGGACAGATACAGATGCCAAGTTCTCACTACAAATTAAACTTATTAGGCGGTGCTTTTGGAGGTTATTTTGTAAACACCTTACTCAATTGACATAAAAAACACTGTCAAATAATGTACCATCTGGAGGCATACAAGATGCATGCTGTGTAAGTGCCGTATCGTCAATCGTTCCTACAATTGTAGGACGCCTGTATGGTCTCCTTGATTTCCTACTGTTCCGTATCATCGCTATATTTTGAGGTTATCTATCTGCATCAAATTGTTCATGCGTTTGATTTAAATCACCTGTTACATCAGCATGAAATTTCCTATCATTCAAAAAGAAAACGTAGCCTCGCAGTAGGAGAGCGCTGACGCTGACACGGAGTAGTAGAGATCTAGAAATACCCCAACCTTTTTGAAGGAGAGAAAAGATTATAAAAATCAGGGAGGCCATAAAGGCGTCCTACAATTGTTGGAACAACTGACAATCATTCAAAAAGAAAACGTAGCCTCGCAGTAGGAGAGCGCTGACGCTGACACGGAGTAGTAGAGATCTAGAAATACCCCAACCTTTTTGAAGGAGAGAAAAGAGTATAAAAATCACGGAGGCCATAAAGGCGTCCTACAATTGTTGGAACGACTGACGATACGGCCCATAGAGACGCACAGACGTGGAATAATACAAAATGGAAGCCGATAAGCGGGTCATCTTGTCAATATGCAAAACGAACCAATTCATTTTATTGTTTTATTTAAATACATCCTGGTTCAGTTCTATCACACAATCATTCTATACAACTTTAAAACATAAGTTAACAAAGCAAAATTCTGTATAAAAATACACGCAAATCATATATTTTTATATAATTAAATGCCTCACACAACAATAACTATAAATAATAAAAATGCTCTGTATCACAGATAGAACAATCTATGTGTACAATAAATATAAAAATACAATTTTTATCCTTTTTACAATTAAAAACTGATATAGTGCATTTCAGCATGATTAACCTGAATCTCTCCGCTTCATATGAAATAAGCAAAGATACTCTACCAGTGGTAAAATTAAATGTGAAAGTAAAGATTTAGTTTATAAATATTATGTCCCAAACGAACAGCTTTCTGATTAAGAAAATATGCAAAAACATTTGAATGAAATAACAACTCTGGTGGTTTGTTCCCAGATAAGAATTGCTGAAATGGACTATAACAGAATACACCAGAACCAAAATGTACTTTTAAGTTTCTTTTCGTAATCATAGTGACTGATTTTTCATTTTGGAATATTTGCAATAAGCAGGCATATTGCCAAATATTACAAAGTAGTATCCTAATAATACATTAAACAATGTTAATCAATGGTAAAAGTATATTTACAGGGCTGTTTCATAGGAGCTATAGTAAAGATCATGTGAGGTGTATAAGTTATTATGAATAGTTCTGATATACTCGTAATAGATGAGAAACTCTATGTTTCTTATGTTTGGTCTAATTGTTTGTATTTTACATGGATTAAGAATTTACAGTTGCTCTCCTATACAAGGTGTCCCATTATAATCTCATCACCTAAATATTTAGAAGACTGCTCATTCCAGAAAAAAATTCCACACAAAAATTATAAGGTTTCGATGGGACAAAATGAAAATGGAAAAGCGGGAAAGTTTACGTCCGAATCTGACCTTGACAACAATATTTATCAACTAATATTACAGGTCACTTATTTCAACTCAGCGAGAATAGCTGTGAGCTACTACTAAAAAGGCGTCAAGTAGGTTGACTCTTTACTGTGTTCATGTGCAATGTTATTATATACTTTAACGAGATTTTAGAAAAGTATCGTGTCATATTCGCAAATCTGTACTCATATTAAGCATCAACACTAATTTGTTTCAAACCTCAGTAGGGTATCGCACATTTTGCAGCTAGTTGTGATAGTGTAGCAGTAGACATAAATACCAACTTCCAAAGTTTCACACCATTTACTTCCGCGATTGTACATGATGGATTTGAGGAAATGAATTCCATCAGATCAATTTTGGGCAAATTGTCACTTAACCCTTTTACAAATCCTGCTTCCATAATGGTATGAACTTACGCAGTACCCAATAGTTATCAACTGGAAATCACGTGTCCGAGCGCACAGGTGTGTCTTATGAATTGTCTATGACTAATGTCTAAACGCACAGACGCTGTCGAACACCTACGCGACGAGACGCTGGGCACTAGAGAGGTGTGACGTCAGACGAGAACCAACGGCAGCAATGATGTCGCGTTATAATGCGCCAAATTTAAGTATCAATTTCTCTGTCATTTATTAGCCGATTTCAATAATTTTTTCACTGGTTGATTATATGTAGTCTACATTTTGCTGGTATGTCATTACTTATGCGATTCTGAATATCACGAAACTTCTTCATTGGCTCCTCTTTTTGACGAAGTAAAAAATGGGTTTCCATTTGAAAATATTTACTTGATATTGAGATGACCTTGAAAAATCGAAGTTAAGGTCATTGTCAAGGTCACCACCATTTTTCCCTCAAAAACCTATGACTTTTGTTCATTTTTTTTTTTTCTAAAATGAGTAGTTTTTGAAATATTTAGATGGAGAAATTTAAATAGGACACTGTCAAACGATCTAGTATAAAAAGGTCAATAAATGTGTGGGATATATAGGCTAAAATATAATTATAATGGAATTTATAATGACTAGAATAAGTTGAAGGCATTACATATACTCGAACCTATGAACGTTTGATCTACATTAAACACTAAGGAATTGAATGAAAAAAAGAAGCCAAACAAAAATGTTTATGACCATTTTTCACAGTAGCACTATTTCCAACAGCACAGATTTTAAGTTAAAAGGTCATTTATTAATCCCAACCCTGTATACACTAATATCCACAGTCCATGTCATTCACCACCTATAATATAGACCATTCTCATATGACGCCACAAGTTCGGCCTTCATTCTCATTAAAGCAGGCATAGTTTTATTTTTGTTTCATCTCAGGCCCGGTTTTCCAATCACTGGTTAGTCAATCTGTCAGTTTGCAGGTTTGGTAGCTATAAGCTAACTATCGTGCGTAAATTCGGTTTTCAGGTTCTGGTTAACCAACCCGTAACTGTCTGAACTATCGTGGTCTGTGCGTTTTGTGATGCTCGATGATGAGCAAAAAAATTAGAATTTGCGGTTCAACTATAACGTTTTAGTTTCTGGTTAAATTAACCACCGCTTTCGGAGAAATCTGATACTGAAAAGCGCATTTTGAGAGTCGAATTCTGATTAGCAGTGGGGTATCATAGTTAACCAGCAATTGAAAATCCAGGCCTTACAATTTTTTTTTCGGGTGATAGTCATTTAAATGACAGAGGTCTATCCCAAATAGTTCCCCGAAATCAAAGTGACGTGTTCAAAAATAATCTATATTTCGAGCTCTATCGTTATTCTTGTAAAAAATTATTGTCAGCATCACAATGCTAACATTGTTCCAAAATCACAGCTACCGTTGCAAATTTTTTGCGTCACCAAAGTAAAATGCCGATAGAAATCGATTATAAATGTTTATAGTGTTGTTGAAAAAACCGAATCATGTCAATATCATTGCTACTGTTGCTACCGTCTAGGAATAGAACGAGTGAATATTGATGAACCTACTAGAAAGTTCTGCCTACAGATATATTTAAAGTGACGCTAGAAATAAAGAGAAAGATCTAAAAATCACTTTTTTAAATAATGTGACTTCTAATCCATAGTGTGATAAGAATTAACAGTGAATACAGCTATTTGCTAAAATACAGACTATCACACGTATTACAAACATTTGACACGAAACATTTGTACTATAGTTGCCTTAAACAATTGCATCACTGGTAATATGATATCTACTTCTTTCTTCTCTTATTCTTTTTATTCTCCGCTATTTTGACCGATACAGTGCTGGCCAAAGTCGTCTTCCCTTTTAGATTTTCGTGTGTACGAGAGAGCGAAACGTCTTAGAAAGAATGCGCTATGTAACCGTCGTCACCACGTTGTCTGGCAACGGCAGTGGGGGAGGGCGCGGAGCGCGACTGTAAATCCTTCCCACTGCCGTTGCCTGGCAACGACATGACGATGATTCTACATGAGTTGGATGGTGTTACACGCTTCTCTCTGTGTGTGTCTCTCACGTACACAGTGGAATCAATTTCAGGCATGGCGAAAAATAAAACAACATGGCACGCCACCTCTGAGTAGTTTCGCGAATCGCGGTACTGCCGACCCTTACGTACGGATGCAGGAAACTAGAGTTTACCGGCATCTCAGAATGACAGGTGTTTTTGCTTTTATGAAGCCAAAAAAGAATATCCACCACATGGACGTTCCACTGTCACTCAGGAGAGCACCACGTACTCACCGGGCAACAAGCATTGACGTTCTATGCAAAACCTGCATAAAAAAACACAATCTGAATATGATTTTTATATTTGAAGCATACCACAATGCCAGAATGCAGATAAACTTCAAGTGCCGGCAAATTAGTATCCCTCCAATACCTATTTTGGGTCTACTCAGTTATACTGGCTACTATATTTGACTCAACAAAATTCTCATTCGCTGAGTCTGGGTATCCACAAAACGCTGTTTTCCTACAGAAAGGCGCATAGCAATATCAAAAGAAGAACAAGAATAGGGAATATCATGTATACACCCATTCTTGGATTACAGGTGGAAGTCAGTAACGTGATGTCGTCTTCTTCATGTTCTATGCCATCCCGAGTAGGTACTTCCACAATCACAGTCTCGTCGGAAAAGATGTTGATAGGGAATTCGCATTCTGTCTGGTTCATACATTCCTTACTGAAAAAAAAGTAATTGATGTACAGGAAAAAGATCCAGGGGTAAAATTCTCTTGTTTCGAAATATACGTAGATATTATATCGAAATATGACAGCATAGCAACTATATGGTTGGAACTGTAAAGATCTCAGTTTTGCGTTTGATAGGCCGGTCACCAGTGTGACCGTTAGCGGCTGACGACTCTGGAGGTATAGTAGATGTGGTCGCCATTGGACAACTAAACATACTGCTCAAGTCCGTCCGAGCACAAACATCTAACAATGGTCAGCTTCGTTGTTTTTGGCAACTCATTCGCATGGTATCAGGCCGACAATGAACATACGAGGTCTGTAAATTAGTGATGAGACTGATTTTTTTTAAATTTTATGTATTCATTTATATTTCCACCCTCAAAATGACTTCATTCTGAAGACACACGGCGCTGAAGACGGTTCTTCCACTCCTCATAGCAGTGCTGGAACTCAGATAAAGGAATAGCCTTCAGCTGGTCGGTTACAGCCGCTTGAATGTTTCCGACTGTCCCAAAATGAGTTTCCTTGAGGTGATTTTTCAACTTCGGGAAGAGAAAAAATTCACAATGACTCAAGTCAGGCGAATAGGGAGGCTGAGAAGCCAAATGAATGTTTTTACTGGTCAAAAACTCGATTATTGACATTGGTATGTGACAAGGAGCATTATCGTGATGCAACACCCAGTTGTTCTTGATCTGATAAACGGTGGTGTGAGTCAAATTTAACTATCTAACTGTCAACCGATGACTTGAACGTAACAGATACCTTAAACCACCGACAAACCTGGACACTTGACAAAACACTATCTCCGTAGGTCTGCTGAAGTTCAGCAAGCGTTTCCATTGCACTGTGCTCAAGTCTGAAGCAAAACCTGATAGTACACCTTTGCTCGAAATTAATGTCACTCATTTTTGCACTGAAGGCGGATCACATGTTGCCCCGTCGCCCCTCCAGGCCCGGCGCCTCCAGCGTTGCCAGATCGAACGCTACGTTGCTTGTCTCATCACTTAATTTACAGACCACGTAAACCCCTTAGACCAAATGTTAAAAGACGCTAATCTAAGGTTGAAATTCAATATGTTGCGTCCAAGGAGTATATTTTGAGTGTTTTTAATTCTATCTATGAATGAATGCTCCAAAACTGAAAATATTAACTTTTGTGACAAAGAAGTGGCATACCTGCTCTTTTCGGAGAACCTGTACGTCGGTTTGTAAATGTCAAAAACAGCGTGTATGTCATTCTTGACAAGATCATTGTCAGAGTAAAATATATAGTAATAATATCCGTTGGAAGCTACCGTATGTTCAGTAACCATATGGTTGCTCTTCTCCAAGTAGTTGACGCTGTTGCAAGATTCGCTAGGTAAAAAACCTGAAAATAAGGAATATCATTACTAAAGAGTTTTACAAAAGGGTAGTTATATGAAGATAAGATACTTCATGGAATGTCTTTATAACCCACAGGTCCTTGAGTTTCTTCTTCTTTACAGTAGGGAAGCAGACCACAAATGATTGGTTGCATTATCGCGTACTGACATGATACGATAAAAACTAGACAAATCTTACGGATCACGTGGATTTGGGATTTTGAGGTACTGTGTCAAAACTCTTCCAAAGCCTATAACCATCTAACGCTACAGCTGAAAATTTAAAATTTACCGTTTTCAACGCATTACCTAAAAAGATGCCCAGTCACGTACTGTACGAGGATAAGATTCTATCTCATGTAGTTTGTTTACACGAATTGTTGTTAATGTCTTGCGCGGTCATCATTGAGATGGATAAACTTCAATATAGTGCGGCCATCAAATTCTTCATGTCGAATGTTTTATAACCCCTAACACATCCGAAATTCAAAAATAGCACTAACAAATAAATACCTCTAGTCAACAGTATTTTCCCATCATAGCAAGTGAGCAAATCGCTTTCAAAACTGGACACACTGTCACTCTGCAAGGCAATAAGAGAAAAATTGAGCGCATTACCGCCATGCTTTATGTGGGCATCTAGGGGAGAAATGCTTCTCTTTCGACGGATGTCAACATTCGACGCTTCTCCTAAAAACAAAACAAGCTATAACTATAAATGCATGCAATGTTGGGCTACATCATAAGCAAGGTCTTCGTCAAAATCCTGTCAACACTCACCTAATAAAAGCAGTATACTATTTGCAAGAAATCAAATGTACTGCACAATGAGCTGTCGGAGAGAATTGGAATTCAGAAAAATATAAACATCTTTTTTCATACCCTTATAACGCAACTGCAGCAGCATCTATTATAACACAATTCCTTATGACCAATTGCGATTTCATATGTCAGATTGCCATTTCTGCAAAATTCATACTACATACTATCTATTGGAGATTTGAACTACTTATGTGATTTTGAGTGGGATACCATTTCCTTCATCACATCTTGTTCCAAAACTATACGCCATACAATATCCTACGACTCAGCAACCCACAAACCGTGCTAGCGAAATACTGGTTGCAGTGAATTAGGCGAATATCAACAAAACAGGTTCGCTATTCCTGCAAAGATGGTGCTAAAGGCGTGTGAGATACCTGAATATCGTAATACCTTGTGCAAAATTTGATATCGCAACTATCAGATTTTTACGAAATGAGCATGCACTGCAACTTCAAAGCTTTGTCATGTTGTTCTTAACAGATTTTTATGAGGGTTTATCAACATATCGACGCATATCAAGTGCTCCGCCGTAAATGCTGCAGCGAAAACAAGTAAAAGCAGTCCCTAGATATAAAAAATGTGGGTTATTTGTCTAAACAGGTTCTTACCTCCAAGTTCTTTTTTCAAACTTTGCAATTTGTGTAACCATTTCCTAGCGTGCCTTTTTCTGTGTCTGATTTTAGTATTGTTGGTGTTCTCTACTTCAACTTTTGGTGTCGTGCTATCTTCTGATTGGTTCATGTTTAGTCTGTTCAATTGCAACCTAGGTAAAATTAAATAAACGACTGAAAAAGGCACACATTAGTCAGCACTGACTTAGAGAACTAGCTGACAAGCTGATCTACTACGTGACAAAAAAGTAGATAATGGGTCTGCTCACAATGAATTATTTTTGCAATAGAGATACAGGTATTTCTTACTCTAGATAGCAGTACTCTTTGAATAAGCTCATAGTCATGCATTTTGCTAATATTTATGATCCTTTACGAAATATAAACAATCGGACATTAATTGCTTCATTTTCATTTTAAAAAATATAACGGCCCTCTTCTTTTATCAAAATTCACGGTCAAATATCTCGGAATACTTGCTACTTGCTACTTAGTACGGCTTTTTTACACATTGATTGTCTCTTTAACAACCCTATTGCGACAAACAAAATTCTTTGCTGATCGCATGATCAAGAAAGAACTACCCGTTGCTCTTTATCACTTCAATTTCGTAAATACTAGCCATACCTTTTTCGTATGGTATCATCATCCTCGGACAAATCTTCTTTCCCCACATCTCTTTCTACCTCAGCATCGACCATTCCGAGCACTTCAGCCGGTTTCTCGTACGTCACTTTGACTCGACTGTGTTCCGCATCCATTTTGGCGCCATATTTCTTGTAGTTGTGTTCCATCAGTGCGCAAGTGTTCAGATTTTTCCCGCCACGGACCACGAGGATGCGCGAGCCATCGTATCGAGAACAAACCTTAAATAAAAATAAACCATTATACAAAGCATTTTACAGAAGCGAGAGAGTCGATTGATGATGAACCACGGAGCGGAAGGCCTGCGTCTCCAAGGACAGATGAAAATATCGACAGAATCCGGGATCGTGTGCGTTCAGATCGTCAGTGGTCATCTATAAAACACTAACCTTAACAAAGCATATATAATAAATAGACAAATAGCTGTTACAAATTCTCAGAGATGATGCTACGGTATTGCATTTTATTTTGGATAATTTTTCCGGCACCGGAATATGGCATTAAGTTGGCAATCCCCGGGTAGAATACGTAAATCGGTGCAATAACGCGATATTGTTGATTTTGGTCCGCCTTATATACGAGTATGATAATTCCTCGAAAGTAAAAATTATCCCTTAGGTTTTTTTGAGTCGCTGATTGCAAATCGATTATCAGATTCCACTTTTTTATTTTAATATTATATTGAAAGTAAAGAGTTGTGTACGAAAAATGATATCACATAATCGCCCTCCTCTGAAAGCCCCACAAACTTGAGCTTTGTTGCCATTTGCAATTACTTTTTAGTACAATAATGGACAAAAGTATATAGACAAATATAAATATTTACTTAAATACCTTTAGAAAACGAATTCATACTTCACTGCTTCATAAACAAATGCGTTATTAGTAGAAAAACTAAATTCCTTGTTTTTACATTATCTGCAATGAACACAATACAAGTCTGAATATAAGCACTTTTTTATGAGGGACAAAAATATGTAGACAAATTCATTTCAACATTAGTTTTTGTACAGTTTCGTGTCAGAAGAAGATTAGTTTGTGTTCATCAAGTGTTGTGGAATAAGTTGAGTGATTTTAAGACCATGCCGCGTGGTCCAGAAATTTCTTTCGATGTGAAAACTAAGATCATTGAGTTATACAAAGATGGTAAACGTCAAGTCGACATTGCCAAAAATTTGAAGCTGAAGCGTAAATCAGTTTGGGCAATATTGAACAAATATAAACAAAAAGGTATCTTGGAAGCCTCTGAGAGAAGTGGTCGGCCTAGAAAACTAAATGCTAAATCAGTCTGATTAATAAAAGTAATTTCGTCCAAAGAACCGTTTAAAACCCCAAAACAAATAAAAGCCGAAATGGAGACATAAGGAATTGTCAGTGTTTCTACGAAAACTATAGAAGTTTAAATGATTTGAAGTTATTTGCACGTCGCCTGAGTAAGAAGCCGCTAATCTCGAGGAAAAACCGTAAGGGCGTTTGTCCACCGCCGCCGTCACCGGACCGTCACCGAGAACGAGATTATTTCGGGCCGAGTTTAATATGACGTAACGGCGATCGTTTGTCCACCGCGACCGATTTCGCTGGTTTAGTTTGTTCCACCTGTCATGCGTGGTAGTCGCGTTTTCGACTGTGATGGCTAGGTTAAACCGGCGACAACTTATTCTACTATAAGCAGAATAGTGACACAAGTGTGTCACCAAATATGGACTATTTTAAGTGGTGAACACTTGGCTGCGCCTACTACTGAGCGATGGTTATTAATAGTGGAAGGATTTAAACGAAGAGCTAATTTCCCAAACTGCATCGGTTGTGTCGATGGAAAACACATACGGATTGAAACATTTCCGAAATCTGGCACTATGAACTTTAATTGTAAGGGATATTTCTCAATTGTACTTCTGGCAGTAGTTGATTCAGATTACAGATTCGTATATGTTGATATCGGTTCATACGGTAAAGACTGCGACTCCGCAATTTTTCAACGTACAAACTTCTATCAACTACTCACTGAAGGCAGGTTGAGTATACCTCCACCTGTTCCACTGCACTCATCTCAAAATAACAGAATGCCACATGGTATACTAGGCGATGAAGCTTTCCAGCTGACTGAACATTTATTACGTCCTTTTGGCGATAACCATTTAGATGTGAAAAAACGTATTTATAACTATAGACATTGTCGTGCACGAAGATACGTTGAATGTGCATTTGGCATTATGGCCAATAAATGGCGAATATTTCATCGCCCTCTAAATGTAAACAAAAAACTTAGCAAAAGTATAGTTAAGGCATGCGTCGTTTTGCATAATATTGTACGTGAAAAAGATGGCTACAGAGTTGAGGATATGTTCATGTCTTTTATGCACGATGGGCTGTCTGATCTACCAAGGGAAGGAAGTGTACTGCATGGTGGGCGTACTGCTAACGGCTCCTCACCTTGGCAGATGAATAAAATCTAAACTTGTAATTACTTAATTAAAAACATAAATAATAAACTATCATGTATTTACTAATTTCGTCTTTGTTTTTCTGGTCCATATCCTCAAAGTTCGGCTCTAAAAAGGCACAAACATCGCGCCATGCATTTCTACGCAAAACTTTATCTTTGGACACTTCCTTGGTTTTATCCCACAAACATTCTTTACTTTCTATAATTTCTATTAATGAATAAATATCGTATTTAAATTTTTTCGCCATTTTTATTGCAATGTTATACTAATTAATGATAATTGATTACAAACAAAATAATAACTGAGCTCGTGTACGGTGCGACGGCGACGGCAGTGTGTGGACAAGTTCATACGTGTTTTGTATTGCCGGCACATCGGCCCGTCAAAATCTCGGGCGACGATCTAGCGGTCACGCCGATCTACTCGCAATTTCGGCGGCCGGGATGACGGCGCTCGGGTGACGGATGTGCGGTGGACACGCGGCTAAGTAATGTAATGTAAATGTATGTACCGCTTCTTCGGCGCCGTCATCTAGTTCTCCGTGACGTGACGGTGACGGCGGCGGTGGACAAACGCCGTAAGGACCGATTACAATTTGCCCGGTTGCATCTTGATTGCAGCATCTGTGACTGGAAGAGGGTATGTTTCAGTGACGAATCCAAGTTCAATATGTTTGGATCAGATGGTTTTTACTATGTTAGACGTCCTAGTGGACAAAGATTGAACCCGAAGTTCACTTTGCCCACTGTCAAACATGGAGGCAGGTCTGTTATTGTTTGGGGGTGCTTTTCGGGGTTTTGGATGGGACCCTTACATAGAATAAGATGGCATTATGGATAAGTTTGTATACACAGACATACTAAAGCATGTCATGTTACCCTATATGGAAGACAATATGCCCTTAAGATCAATCTTCCAGCAAGATAATGACCCGAAGCACTCTTCAAATCTCGCATATAAATTCTTTCTGGATGAAAAAATACCAGTTCTGAAATGGCCTTCAGTCTCCCGATATAAACCCCATTGAAAATCTATGGGAATACTTAGATAAGCAAATACGAGATAAAAATTATTCAAACAAGGATGAACTTTTTGCCGCTTTAGAGCAAAAGTGGAGACAGATTGATTAATCTTATATCAAGAAACTTCTATAATCTATGCCGAGACGATGCGGTGATTGATAATAATGGTTATGCTACAAAATATTAACACAAACATGGTTGGTTTTCTATAATTCAATGAACTTTGCTTCTTTTTTCTATAATTGTTTTGCTTTGTCTATATATTTTTGTCCTTCATAGTTCCAGTTTTTTCAATTAATTTTTTATTGAAGGGAGTGAATGAATTTATTTATGAATAAGTTAGTATTATGCTATAACGAATTATGTTTACAGGTTGGTGTATCAATAAAACAAGTTAAAAAATAAATACAGCACAATATTAATTTGCCTATATACTTTTGTCCGTTACTGTATGTTTAAGGAGTCATACTTTGAGTATATTCCTCGATATTGCTCTTCAGCAGCTAGGTTTGTTGCCATAAATCTTATTTTTTAAAATTCCACGTATATACGGTAACCGATGGTACCATGGGGTTATAGGGGGATACAAGGGAAAGGGGGGTTACGTCAGCTGGCCTCTAACGAGGGAACACGTGCGCATGTAACATCGCCCCGCCTTGGAAATCCGCCGGGTTGTACCTCCGCGTTCGACAGTCAAAGACCGTCTACCCCCTACGAACAGTCACAGCATCCATAGCAATTGCTCAAGAGACCCATAAAGTCTACCACTAAGCATAACCTGATCGTGTCTTGAGTTAGGTACACATGTTCTTGAGAGCTAAGCAATTACCTAGGACATAGTACAGGTCATCAGTAAATTCATTTTTCAGTCTCTTGAAACTGTTGTAGTAACCTTTTTTTCGAAAACATGCATCAGTGCCAAGTTTTTGGGGTACTCGGTTGTTTAATAGCCACCCTGCATATTATGCAGCCTGAAGTTCACTTAAAGTGACATCTTTGTATTAGTCTGTAATGTTGGCAATAATAAATCAGGTGTAACTCGAGTGCTTGTATCGTTTTTTTTTTATTTGTATGCAAATGAACTTTTCTAAATAAAACGTTGTTAGCAAGTACAAAATATCCGTGAAAATAATGTGTCATTTGACGATGCGGGTAATTTTGATAACATATATCACTAAATAATAAGCTGTTATTCTACCTAATGGATACTCGTGAAAAAGACAATACCTTCAATTTAACCTTGGCCCCCTTCAGCAAATAGAATCCCCAGTACTCCAACGTGTCATCAGGCAACGTCATCGATTTCTTCAGCCTGATATGTTTCCGTTTGGTGCTGATCCTCGGCGTGCCTCCCAACTGGAAAGCGTTGAAGGAGGAGTTCATTTTGAGGTTGAGCGATTCGCAGAAAATGCCGGAAACGCCCTCTTCGATTGACAATACGTCCGATTCGGCCACCGGGTAGACTACCGGAGCGAACACGGTATGGCGCAAGTACAGAGGGACGATGATCAACACTGTGGGAACCACGGCTGTCATCAGGCAGAAGATCACCACGCGTTTCACCCCGTGCATTTTGCCGAAGTCTGGAAAAGCAAAATGGCGTCAAGTTGGTTATCTCTGCACTTCCTACACAACGCTATCATATGTTCGACCATATACTGTATTCCGGCACCCAAACGGATGTCTGAAAGATACTAGCGCCATTTATGATAGAGTAGCAGAACCAAACACAATAACTCTTTTCAAAATAGGTTTGTAAATTTTCTAGCTTGGTAAAAATTAAAGTGAGAGAACATTTTTAAAAAAAATTAAATAAATCATTAAAAATTTGTTAATTGGGTTAAATTGGGTTCTTGAGAAGTTTTTTTATTAGTAAAAGGAATAATATATAAAATTGAAATTGATATATTAGCTCCACAAATTTCTGAACATTGCCCATAAAATAATCCTGTTCGATTAATAGAAAATCTAATTTGGTTTAAACGGCAGTTCTCCACAAGTTGAATCAATATTTATTAGATGAGGAATTACTAGGATTAGTTGAAATCTATGTTAGATATAAACTTAATTTTGCTAAAAGCACTATATCTGTTACGTGCGTTTCAAATTTGAACCCTCACACGATCAGTATTTACTGTGGTCTGTACCATCAGTGGACTTCTGCGTTAACATTATGCAGCAATAATTACTGACGTCCAGGCTGCACGGTCAATATCACATCTCATGATAAAACTTGGACAATTTGTAAATTCAAAGTATTTCCTAAATTACTCTAAGTCGTATTTATCTTTTCCTGGCTTTAGTCCGAAAGAAAACTTTTCAAATATCCATATTGTCTAGAAATTACATGATAGCATTACCCCTTTTTCCCTTCTACATGGTGGCATAATTAGAATTTCGGTCTGACATGTCAGCTCCGTTTTTCAAAAATTATATCATTTTTCATGTCTTCATGATTACCCTTAAATAATATAAATGAGCTATATTATGTTGTTCCTTCAATGAGTTTTACCAACTATATGAAGTTACGCACTTGGAGTTTTATATCAATGTGTAACATGTTATCATCTTTGATATACTATATGGAATAAATGACTATATGATAATTTCAAGGCTTTCAAATTCCTTTATTAGGACCGAACACTATACATAAGTATAGAGAAGAAGACGTCATATGTATAACACAAAATTTTTCAAAAAGTGAAGACAAAATAAAAAACATACTAAACTTACTCAAGAAATTTTTTTTATAATAATGTATGACTTGCTTTAATACTTGAAATCAGTATTCGCCTAAGCAAAAATGGCATACAAAAGAAAAAGCAAAGTTAAGACAGGGTAAAGAGATGAAAAATCTAATTAATGTTCTATTTTTGCAAACTTGCAAAGACCAAAAAGTGGAAATGTTAATGTGTAGTTTATTTTAAAATCCTGTCTCGAATAAATTCTGAAAAAAAATAGAAACGATTTTGGAAAAATTCGTTCCATTTTCCGTATATCTCTGGAGATACAGGAAGCGTCAAAACTTTTTAGATGCATTTTCCAATATATATTAATACTCAACTTTGCCACTATTCAACCAACCCGTATCTGTTACCGTTTCGGAGATCACAATGGTGAAAATATCACAAATTTGTTTTTCAAATTATTCTTGAATAAATAGGTACCTATATATATCCTTCTAAATATTCTAAAAAACTATTTTAGGCTATATGATGAAATTTGAAGTAATTGTAGGAAAACAACAAAGAGAAGAAGAGAAATTATTTCCAGAATAGATATAATATGCTATATCCCCAGCTGTATCAAAACTGCTCCTTTGAAGTGGTATATTAGAATATACTAAAAGATGTACGGTGTTATATTTTAAAAAAAGTTTTAGTAGACAGCCATATATCAGAAGAAGGAAGTGTGTCCACAATTGTATTACAGCATCGAGCTGCTGGCACGCGCCGACTCCAAGGCTCGCGGGTTTAAATCCCAGCCTCGGAAGTTATATTTTGAACCATGGATGATGAACAAGTCAATATATATGTACTCACCGGATTCGCGTAAGATAAAATATGTACATCACATCACTGAAGCTAATTAATTCAATAAATGATCAATTACCAATAGATAAGCCTTTATAGTAGAGCAGTATTGATGCGACAAAAGCAACAAAGATGGCCTAGTTGATAGACTTTGCCTTCCCACAACTATCTGAAAAAAATTGAGATATCTCCTCCCACAAATGTTGGGCACTCTGGCACACACTTCAAAACATTTTCGTCCTTGACATAGTAGTTTCTTGGTATCAAAATTTCATCAAAACAGGTTGGTGGGCTTTCTAAGTTATAAAGTGGTCAAGTATTAGCAGACACACAGACAGACTGATGGAAATAATATACATGGTTTTTTATGAAATACATGTCATGTCACATTTATCACCAATTAGCATAGGAAGTAAAAATCGTCAGGATATCAAGAAAGACAGTATAACATAGTATGCAAGGTTGAGTGATATAATTATACCACCAATATTCTCATCAAATTAATAAGTACTTACAAGATATAGTTTTATCAGTTTAATATTTCCATAACACTGCATACCAATGCTTAATCCATTAACATTTTAGGCATTTTAATCTGGTTTGAGGTCATCCAGAATAATGGAAACAGTAGCTAATATATCCCATATAATGGGTACTTATGCAAATATCAGTACTTGATATTCAAATTTTATTTGTTTAATAAATTAGGTATCATTATAACTTTACTATTCCATTATAGAATTTTCACTGATTCTGAGAATGTTTCAGATATTGTGGATTTGAAGCTAGAGAGAATAGAATTTATTTATCACATCTTGATTCAAAGTTGCAAAGTTGCCAAGTATTTTTTTCTAAAAAAGTATAACACCTGAGAGTTGTTTATATATTAATAGAATTACAAAAGCATAAAATGTGGATGCTTTACACCAGCATTATTTTTTAAAATTCAATCAAGTAGTACCTAAACTAAGCATGCATTGTCAAGTTAAAACATGCCATCTCCAGAAATACTTTTGAAAAATCTCTGCACAGTTGCTAAGTAGAAGTGAGGAAAGATTCCTAAATCTGCCCTGAGGTAGGCATCTTAAAGAATATCTTAATTAAGGAAAAAAGGGACATATCATACTCCAACTAGACTTTATGACATGGCAGAATGAAGTGAAAAATCTTCAGTTACAAAAACCTTTTAGTTTGTATACTTGATTGAATGGAGAACAATAAATGATTGACCACATTTTTTTCTCATCAAGGAGAACACAGTTTATCCATTTCATGCCCTGTAAATACCTACATACCAAAGCAAATTTTATCTGAAACATAACATGTGGTTTTGTCTCATTTGTATACTTGAACAGTATGACAACTCTCTGAACAGATGTACAAACTTTAACAAACACTACACTAGAATACCTTGCAGTTTTCCCCATTAACATGTTAAGCAGTGCCAAAAATAGTATCCAACATCTGCTTGGGTTCTTAATATGTCACCAATATAATTCATATCATACTCTCCTAAAATATCACCAGCAATTATTGATGATGTTGATGAATTTACCAGATTTCAGATAAATTATGTTATGCTGATAAAATCACACCTTATCTAGTCACCATTTACTGTATATGATTATGATATATTATTCTTGTTTTCAACTATTTATAACCCATTGTGATTTTTGTATACATCGGTTTTACTGAACCGATCTATGCAGATTTTGCAAAATCTTTAGACTTATATCCATTCAACAAAATTGAACCACAAGCTTATGTTGTAATGTAATACCATAATACATTGTAAACATAAACAAGACACCGAATCACAGATTCACAACCACAGCAACGCTACACGCCACAAAACATCATCTCCTGACAGAAAACGTGACGTGACAGAGATAATAAATACAATGTTGCCGATCCGTCGCTTGAAAATACAGGGATTGTGGGGATCCCCAGTAATAGAACAAATAATTATTATGCTTTTGTTACACGAGCCCAAGACAATAAAAGTGATGTGAAGTGATTTATTTAACAAGGTTAGACTCCTAATTTTAAGTTTTGGCAAATCTGGCAAACTTCTCATCAAAAGTTGGAAAACTTGACTGAAAACCTAAGCTTTTTCTAAGTTTTTCCTCTGCTTTTTTATCTACGTGGACTCTAGACGTGGATTTGTTGCTTTAACAACTGCGTTTGTGTAGATAATTCGCTCCATGGATAATAAAAAATCCAAAACTATGTGTTCGCTGAGGGCGCGGGGTACAGAATTGCCGAACCGGAAAAGATGAAATCAGTAGACGGTGTGGGTGAAATTCGGGAAGATTCAAGAACAAAATCGGTAGGAGAAAAGTCAGGGTGATCACAAGATCAGCGATGGAGCAAGGAATTTTGCGTTACGCCAGTATTAAGTTCTTTATTACAACTTTTACAATGAGAATACTGTCATTCTTCAAACTCTTTTGCAATCATCATTGAAACTCATTTTTGCCACTCTTGTTTATAAAAGATTCTGGATATTTTTCTGTTTTACCCCTGAACTTGAGGGCTCACCTAATATTTTAATTTAATATTTAATTAGATACAGACGAGATTTGATTTCCATATTTGTTGTCCGGTAATATGGTAATGACGGAGATCTACCAGTCTGTACCGGTTGTGCGCACATAAACCAATATAGGGATAGAGGAATACGGGAAGGGCATAACACTACATAGTATTTTTAGCTTTATTTTTGGTATCAGCTCATTTTCGGTAAAAAATCTGGAAATCTAACTTATTTTGAAAGATTGTTTTCGGTCTGATTTCGGTAGATATATAAAAAAATCAGTAGGTCCGGCAACACTGTACAATTACAGTTAGCTATATCCCTGCTGATACAGCAATAACAAAAAAAGCTAATCGAAAAACATAGTAAGCACAGAAAAAACTAAATGTCTAATGGATCATTTCGTCGCGAAAAAAAAAATATATATATGTAGTATTCATAGTTAATTGCCTTAACTGTTAGGAGAAAATATCCTTGAATTTCTTTGGGTAGAAGGCAAAGTATTGCAAAAGTACACTCTAATAACTTAAACTCAAGCTTTCGAAGATCTATGTCTTCATCGTCTGGAGTAAGTCGGAGAGATTGTTGCTGAAATTGTTTTTAAAGAACAGTGAAGGGAACACATAGTATTATACTATATTATATTTTCGAAACTGTGTACGTTGGTGTTACAAACGTAAGCAGGTATTCAAAGTCATCCTTGGTCATTCTTCTGAAATTTCTAAATTTATCAGACTGTCTGATACTAAGTCTTTCAATAAATTATTATTTCTTTTGCGTAGAAATTCGGTTATCCACCAATGACGAAATCCACGTTTCCGATTTCCTATTGTTTTAATTAAATTATACTGAACTCTGGATCAGCCCATGTGTTGAAAATGAATTTCAGTCTACACTCTCGACGCACGTGAACGAATGTGTGCGCGTATGCTCACTGCGTGCGTGCTCATATGTAAACGCACCTTTAAGTATATTCCCAAGTTTTCACTCGAACCTGTGCCCAATGAAATAGTTATTTATCTAACAAGTGCGGAAAGTGATGTTACGCGACGGCAGTTTCACGAACGACGCGAAGTAAAAGAACAGTTATTTGGATTATGAAAACTTGTAGGCGTTCTCGAAGCAGAACTAGTGCAGCCGGCGTCCCTTTACATTCTAAAATTCCATGTTCTCTAGAACGTCCTGTAGAAGTGGTACTGACATTTCACGCCACAAGGCGCACTGCGAAAAAGTTATGCGTGCGGAAAAGTGCTACTTTCTGCACGCAGATACATATTGAGAGTGAGTTCTTTCCACACGCTGGTACAAAATCGTTGTTCGTGCAACTGCCATCGCGTTCGGAAAAGTATCACTTTTACGTTTTTCAGAAAACCTAAATACATAAGAAAACAATACATTTACTGAAAAACTGTGTAGTGCCTTCAAGGATGTGTATTTTCAGCTACTCTTGCTGTTAATATTGATGTTTTATATTAACTCCGCCTCAAGACATTCTCAAATGGTCTACAAAAACATTACTTGAAAATGATTACTAAAAAAGTCGAAATTTGTTGTGCTATTTTTTCAGAGTAGATAATTTTGCTCAGTACGATTATTCTATGACAAATGAAAAACAAAATTCTTTAAGCGTTTGTCGGTATGACGATTTTGAAAACATTCAAATAGCACTAAGCATGGAAAACAATATTCGCTCACTTTAAAATACATTTTTCCACCAGTTACATTTTTTAAGTATGTAATTTTAATTTATTCACCATGGATATTCACGATAAAATTGAGCATTTTTTCTACACCTTGTGTAATTTTCATTAAAAAAAATTATGGGGCTTGTTAATGATTTAAAAACCTATTTTATCAATTACATGGTTCAAAAATCCCGCATGACCTAATGTCATCTCCAAGAAGATTGGCTTGATCTCATAAACAAAGGTAGATATGAAAGTATCATACCGAGAACTTTTGTAGCTCAATTATGAAGAAAAAAAATTGTCTTGACCATTTTTTTCTATATTTCATATTTACAGAACCGTAATAAAACAATCAAAAATCAAAGTTTTTCCAAAAATTTCAGTTTCTGGTAGGATCCGGAACTATTTGTCATACTAAAGAATGATATATTTCAATAACCTGAATTTAAATGTTCATCCATTTTAGATTTTTTGGTCAAAAGTGTTCATTTACTGGACATATACTAATCAGTACACAATTATAATAAGTCCTCAACTTTTGTTTTCAAGTGAGCGTAGTGGAACATTTTTTTAAGTGCATTTTTTGTGTCTCAGTGTGTTTTATTCTAGGTTTGAAGTACAGTGTTGTGACGATGCTTTCGTATAAAAGTAATAAGTCAAACAAGCTAGACAGTAAGAGATTTGGGCGAAAAACTTACGATGGATATTAGACGGTAAAGAGTTGTATTTCTGCCCATTGTAGTAAGATATCTTTTCTGATGTCGGCTTAACCATATTCTCATTAGCAAATTTTGTCCGGATCAAACCACTATTTTAAGTCACAGTCTTTCATTGCATCGATTCCACAGACAGTTCAACCTGATGTGACAATCACTGTTTCTAACACATTGTTCTAACTTGATGAAAACTAATAGGAGTCTCGATCTACTGTCAGCATTCGGCTTGTGGTATTTCGAATATTATACCTTAAATCTGTATGGAATTATGATAAACATTGTTACATTTATTGTTAGAGTGTTGTTTCTTTCAAAACTACTTATCAAGAAAACTTAGTTGTTTAAAGATTACATTATCATATCAGTTTGAAAAAAATATTTACTCTTCTGATTTTACATGTTATCTTTTTCCCATAGTATTCGATGACATGAATTAGAAACATACAGTGTTCCAAAATGAAACGTAAATTTGAACAAAGGCGTATGTATCTAAGGATAATGACGGGGAAAACCAAATTTTTCTGACGAGTTGAGTTCAATGTGTACGAGAGAGAAGCGCGAAAAGTGTATATCAACACATGACAGAGAGGGATAGAAGCCGACCGAAGATCAAAGGTCAACACCACATTGCCTAGCAACGGTGACGCAGAAGGGTAAATAAAATTACAATGTACTAATTACTTCGAATGGAACTGTCTTTTTTTACGACCGACTTAACTGGATAACAAATGTCAAATTATATATTTGTCTTGTTGCAGAACGAAAGAATATATCGTGAAGATATGAGTACCCGATACCCGAAACTGGATGTGGCAGAACTGAAAAAAACTGTATGAGGAGGCAAACCAAGTTAATAATCTAACAACCCTTCTATCAGCCTTAGTTTTGCTTAATAAGATAAAATTTATTAACGATGGATTACAAAATGCCAATGACAGATGTGATTTCATAGAACGCAATATTTTAATTTTTATAGAAGATCAAAAAGAAGCTGCTGAAGTGATTGGTCGCTTAGAAGCATTCATGGAAGCATTTACCATTTGTGGTCACTGATCCATTTCAAAAGGTTATCTTGTCCTATCACAATCCTAATACCAAAAAATGACGTCAAGTAGCTTGACTCATCAGGCAGAAAAAGCACATCATTCAAAGAGACCAGACATTTTTACCTAGGTGTTTTTTGTTATCATCATCTGCCTAGAAAAGAAAAGCTACTACTCAATGGAACATTTCGGTCAATAATGGTGGACGCTTTGGTTATTAATGAAAAAAAAAGTTAAAATAGAGCCTTTTTCAGGATCGATATGAAGTTATCCAAAACAGTTCTGCATTTGATAGTAGCCAACGCGATTTTTAAATCACTGCGCAAACTATCACGGTTTTTTTGGATATTTCCCTGTAGAACCTGGTTAATATCGCACGTGCCAGGAGAGTTCAGAGAAGCTAAAAACTTGAGGTCATTAAGTTTTTATTAACAATAAGAACAAAACATTGCATAGCATCATCAGCTAAAACACTATATTGGTGACTTAGCAGATTGCATATTACACCATACTTGGATTATTTAATCGTGGCGTCTCCCGAACATTTATGTCTATAAACTATATATTATATATAAATATATATATATATATATATATATATATTATAACGTCTGTGGTCAGCTTAATCTTTAGAGAAAAAATTCGTTCACACGATTTGTAAAATTCTGAAGCAATCCAACTAATATTATAGATCTTACTTTGGAAAATTTGATAAGTTACTTGTGATATGCATTTCTGCTAGGCAGTGTTCTCACCAAAAGTAAACTAACCGCAACCCGAGTTCAAGTCGATTTCGACTTACGGTTGCCTTGCTTTAGCATTCGGTCCGATGCTACTGCCAATCAAATGACGGTCTCGCCAAAGGTAAGACTGTTAAGCACGCATAGGCAGAGCAAAGGAGTGCCAGTGCCCCGCCAAGTTTAATCGCCAAGCGTGAAGAAAAACTTTGCTACCGCGACTGCAAGACTCAACCCTTCGGGAAACCAAAAATAGAACCGAGAGAGTTTAGAGCAGTACCTGCAGAGAAACTGTAGCAACTTGTACAGAACCCTAGGCTGCTATATTAGGTACTGTAAATTCGAGGAGCAAGGTACAATAAGCCCAAGGGACTGCAATGTCATCAGGGATTTTGGCAGGACGGCTCCCGGAAGGGTAAAAAATAGTTCTTGGCCAAAGTTTTGGATACATCGCGAACTGACATCAATGTTGAAAACTAGTAAAATCTTAACTTGCCGAGTTTGCTGTTTAGCATCAAAATACGTAAGAATGATGCAGTTTTTATCGTAGCATATCAGTACGCGATGATGCACGAAAAATTTGCCGTTGGCTTCCCTGCTATAATGGAGCAGACAGGCGGATTATACATTTCACGAAGTGTCTTCCCTTGATGTAACTACTCTTTGGTCTCATTTTTAGATTGTTGATAAGCCACTCATATGCCAATGAAGATACTTGCCAACAACAAGGCGGAATATAAATATACTCGCATTGTTCTTCAACGCAGTCATTGAAAAAAATATTTAAGCATCTGATATCACAAATTTTATCAGCGGAAAGCAACACTATGTATACAAACATATTTTTTACTCTCTAATCGGTCATGTGCTATCAAGTTGCTCGTCACAGTGTAATAACTGAGGCACTTAAGTAACAAAAAAACATTAGAGCACAGTTTTTATCTGGTTTATCAATTTTTGCGAATACGACCGGATCGTTAGGGAATGTGTCACAATGACATCCTCCATCAACTACTGCAAACCAACTAATGATGGCAATGGCAGCAACCGTATCTTTAGTGTGAACGCTTCTCGGGTTGCGGTTGCCAGTTGCTTATGGTGAGAACGATCCCCTACATTTCAATAACTGACAGTGAGTTATAAAACCCATCTACTCCTTCTGTTGACATAATTGCCAACCTAATATTGTCAAGTTTACATGTACCAAAATGAAAATCTTTGTATTTCTCTATGATCTTTGTCGCGTCGATGCTTTGCCTTTTGTTGAATCTTCTGGGACTGTCTGGGATTTTTCTGTATCTCGTGTTTATCAGCGTCATGTGCAATTTGACGCTTTCTTGATATCTTTTCAGTAACCCTGAAATGTAAATACTAATATTACGTATGTACGAGGGTTGATCCAGAAATATGGTTGCCTAAGAGATCTAGCCACAGGAAGATGTGAGGCAGTACCACAGCTGCGCGCCCATTCTCGATATCCCCCAGCTATGATTCGCTACTTGGCTCAGCAACCGTCCGATCTGGAGATTCCCTTTATTGACCCCGCCATGTACGAGATTCGTTCCGTAATTCGCTTTTTGCACGTCAAAAGGATCCGTGGTTATTCATCATCAGTTGACAGAGGTGTCTGACGACAAGTGTATGTGCATTGAAATATACCCGAAAGTGTTGCAGGAAGTTTAGTCTAGGCAGCAGCGGCGGCCGCAGTAGTAGACTCTTCGGTCTCCTGATCAGTCGCCGTGCGGGTTCGAGTCCCGTCCCAGGAGAAATTTTTCTCTTGGCTATGGATGTTGTGATTGTCCGTAGGTGGTAGATGGTCTCTGACTATCGAACGCGGAGGTACCACCCGGCGGTTCTCGTAGGCGGAGCCAGAATGTGTGCATGTTGCATGCACACATGTTCCCTCGCCAGAGTCCGCGAGGCGTTCCCCCCCTCTCCCATGTATCCCCCTATAGCCCCACGGTACCCAATGGGTGCTCAGGCCTGAGGCCTTCGTGGTAGTTGGAGTACAAAAAAAAAGTACCGGTCGGAAGGAAGTGCACGATGAAGACCGTGTGTTTCGGGGGCGGTTGAAACAGGAGGATCACTGTCTATGAATTACCAGGAATCTGAGTAACAACGAAGTGCAGCTGAGGGAAATCGAGAGTGAGGCTATAGTCCCTTGTTGGTAAAGCTCTTAGGGAACTTTATTTATGGTTTAAGTCCGTATTTTTATTTTAAAATCTATAGCCAACTACAATAATCGAAAAAATGTTTCTAATTTCTAATTAAAAAACTTACCTTTCTCGTAGAAAAAGTCCGACAGGTCGTTGACAATTTTCTGGAGATTCCATTCTTCACTTTCTTCCACAATTTTAGCATTCGCATATATGACGTTTGCTTTTTTGTGATCATCGGTCATGCATTCAACTCCAGATACGTGAATTGTTATGGGGCCGTGTTTTTCTATCAATGGCCTGAAAAATAAGCACAGATTTCAACTTTTACCTGCCGCATCAGATCTCAGCTAAACTGCATGAAATAGTTGAAGTTACATATGAAATTTTAGACAGACACGACCAAAGGGGTAGCTGACTGTATACGCTGCTTTGAACGTCATCTGTCAAAAATGATCCATACCGCCTGTATAAAAAATGCATATTGGTATCGGTGTTTTTTTTGTGTGTGGAGAGTCAGAAGTGGTAAAAAAATGCTAGAACAACTGTTAGGAACGTCTCAATTTTGTAGCTTAGGATGTGTAAAAGCGGTGAAACAGTATCAGGCAAGAAATTAAGAGGATTTATTATCTCATGCATGGAAGAACTGTGAACAACAGGGGATATATAGTTTCACAGCGTGATCTTGATATTGTTCGTCAGTCATCAGACAGTTGGCTTCTACCCTTGAATCTGTGACAGTGTTGTATCTTATACCTTGGGAAGACTAATCCAAGGCTTGTATACAAGATCTCTGATCGTAACATACAAGCGGTCTCTAGTCATATTGATCTCGGCATTGTAGTCAACGATCGTTTATTCGGGTCAGAGCATATACATCATATTACAACCAAAACCAAAAAGCTTCTATACATGCTGGATAGGTCTTTCAAATGATTTCACGCCAACACTTGCGCCGTCATCTACTAGACATTTGTAAGGCCAATTCTTTTGCTGCCCTGTATGGGAAACTATGCGTGTGCGCGACAGAAACGTCGGGCAACCCGAATCCCATTTGAACTCGCAGACCCAGCTATGAAGGTCGACTCGAGTTATTCCACTTCACAACATTTTCAGACCCTACAATTCTAGGCGATCGGATAACTTCAGAATACTTCGTGGCTTGATTGGCATCAACCTGAAGCAACTATACAACTATCGCGCAGCGATCTCCGCGTTCACAGCTTTAAACTGCAAAAAGAGTCGTTTAGAACGAAGTGGTTTCTACCGAATCCTATATTCAACACTTGGAACAATTCACCAGACAGTGTGGTTGACGTCAATAAGTCAGTTACTCAGCTTCAAAGTATATTATGATAGGTGGAACAGAGAACATAGTTTATAGCTATCAACTTTTTGTTTTTATGTATTTTACGCTGCTTATCCGTAAACTAGACTGAAACAGTTCACGATTCTGTACAATAAGACCCTGATTCTCAATAAAGTAGTTTAAAATTGTCGATGTCACTATCCGAATGTCAAAAATCAAAACATACAAACGGATTATAAGTCACCCTTACTGCCTACTTGTCTAAACACCAATGCACTGTGAACATATTCTGAAATAAAGGTCTGATGTTGCAAAATAGAAACTAAATGACATATAATCACATGCTGATAGGTTTCCGTGATTATTTGGCCAAATGAACCCAAATATGTATGAATTAATTTTTACTAGCGTTTCGGTCATTATTTGTATGATGGCGTTTTTCAATGACAATGACAAAAATTGCTTTAAGTAGGTTGACTCTGCACTTTCCACGCAACGCCATTATCAGTTCATAAAGGACTATGATGAGCACAAACTACACCTTCTGAGTAAAAAGTCAGTCAAACAGGTCCATGGAATTAGTCCATAGACATTCTTTCCATGCCCTACCAGTAGTGCATCTGGAAACGTCGCCGGACGTGGCAGCCGCGGACGGTAGGTACGCGATTTGTCTGCCGAGAATATTTTTCTAAGCTAATGTAAGGAGAAGTCTATGATGTGTGAAATATGTCTAATAGATACGTAGAATGTTGGGAGTCCATAAATGTACTAACATCAATAAATTAAGACAAACCCCCTACAACCCCCACCCTCAAGTTTTTTCACCTCTATTTTTTTTTAGAAATGATCAGGATCCTCTAAAACGTCAAAAAATGATGTTTGAACGACTTTTTCGTTTTTGGCCTTTTTCTCTACGGCCACTGGACCGATTTTCAAAAACTACAAAGCTTCTGCGTCCTTGGCATAGTAATAATATCGTGTATATTTTGTTTAAGAAATTGTGTAATCTAAAACAGTCTGCACAGATTATTGGCCCCGTTTGGAGCACTACTATAGTAAAAGTTTATCTTACCCTAAAACATGATCTTTATAGTCATTCAAGGCGGCAATTGCTGCATTTTTTTCTTTGTCATGTAAAACGCATACCAACACTGTCAAATGCAACCTTTTTGACTTCTGGAATATAGATTCTTCTATTCCTTTCATATCCTCCGATAAAACGGCCGCCTACAACAAAAATAAAAGTTATACAAAGACATCCAATTTTTGTAGATCTACAGCTTATTTTGCATTTTGGGCTTTTTGATTTGTCCAGCAAAGAAACTTTTGATAATCTTTAAAAAGTAATTCTATCGATTTTGCTTATCTTGAAATATTTAAAATTATAGATAACTGAAACCAAGCAATTTTAAAAATGAAAACGGGAAGACACTATCTTACTGCGAAGAAATTTTAGTACCTTATCTAATCTACATCAGTATTAGATAAAAACAGGCATTCGGGATTTCTCTCACCTTGAAGTTTTCAAAATTTTCCTGAATCTCATCAGAAAGTAGAGGTATGGCAATGAATTGTATAGGTTTTGCCTGGTCCCTAAGATCTCCCACAACAGAATAGATTTCTTCCAGAGCTTTTTTGACATCATTTTCATCCTCGCCTGTTATAATCATTTTGCCTTCCTTGCCAATTTTTGGAATAACTATTTCCGTATTTGTCTCCTTAGAAAGTGTTTTTAAATCAAATACACTTGGTTGGTTCAGTCTAATGTAATAGATGCTGCAAAGTTATAGATTTGGATGCACTTCCTAAAGATCGAGTTTGTATACTTCAAATAGGGCTTAGCAACATTTTGGCATTTTTTAAGGTCATATTGAGCGTTCCAAATTACTTCGGTGGACGGACTTCACTTGAAATATTTGGAGAAAATAGAGGATTTTCATCACGAAACAACGAAGTTTGAAAAAGCATTGATGGGATTATTTGAAAAGTGTTCCTTTAAATATGGTGCATCGTTTGCCAAATTGAAATGGCGGACAGAGGATGTCTTTTTCTATTACCCCCAGGTCCCTCAAACAGTTTTTAGCCCAACGGATTTAATTATGTAGATTTTTTAATTTTATTTAGTAAAAACTCCAAAATGTAATACACAAATTGAATTAAAAAAAAAAAGAGTATGTCCACCTAATGATTACTTTATCTTAATGGGTGATGTACCAATCTTACAAATTCAACACTACTTACCAGCAGCATGTAGTTTTTTATTTATAAACTCACAAAGGGTTACAAAGAAGAACAAAAAAAAGGAAATCTCAATTTTGAATTTCTGTAAAAAAAACTAAAAGCGTTCACGTTCTTAGAATTCTTTTAAAAACTACTCTAGTTTATCCCGATTCCAACGGTATGCCACAAGTCATAAAAAAGTTGAAATAATTTCTTGAACTTGCAAATTTTGTGTGTCTATCGCCATTGAAAATTGGCACTTCATTCACCAATTCGGGCAACTTATTTTGCAGAAAATGTAGATAATTATCTCCGTTAAGACGATCTGGCAAATAATGTGGTCCAATTACATGATTGCCAATTACTCCTGCCCAAACATTCACACTGAATCTTCTCTGAAAAGCGCTTGGCCTCTTCACTCCTGGGTTCTGATCTTTTGAAGCCCAATAGTGCACATTGTGCAAATTTAGTATCTCTTCGTTGGTAAATTTGGACTCGTCCGTCCACAGAATACTTGTCAAAAAGTCCGGATCGTCCACGCCTGTGTGCAGCAAGAAACGACAAAACCGGACTCGGTTGTCGAAGTTATTATTTTCAAGACATGCAATCAAAAAAATACGGGTAACATTAGTTTGCCACCGCTACATGCTAAATAACAGCGATAAGAAGTTTCCATTGCAGACAGTTGTAAGTGTGATGAAAAAAATACGTACCTTGTACAGAAGTGTAGTGGAAGGCATGTTTATTATTCTGGCGAAGTGTTGAAGCTACATTTCGGATGCTTTGAGTAGGATCTTCCTCGACACGTGCCAAAATCCTCTCATCGATGTCAACATTGTGTCGCACTATGACACCTCTTGGTACATTATTGCTCATAGTACCGGTTTCTCGTAAGCATCGATAAGTGTTTTGGAATGTGTGGCGAGTAGGTACACGCCTGTTAGGATAGCGCTCTTCGTAGATTCTTTGCGCTGCTCGTGCAACACAGTTGACTTGTGTCGTGCGTGCATACGCAATAGAGGACAACAATTCGAACAAGATTTGTGAAACAGAAAAAATAATAAATGATTCAAATTTGATTTTACACGTTTTTTTATTTTCATTCCCCTGTACATAAAATTTGCAAATTCAATATGTTAGTTAAACTTTTTTGTGACTTGTGGCATACAGTTAGAATCGGGATACACTAGAGTAGTTTTTAAAATAATTCTAAGAACTTGAACGCTTTTAGTTTTTTTTTACAGAAATTCAAAATTGAGACTTACATTTTTTTGATCTTCTTTGTAACCCTTTGTGGGTTTATAAATAAAAAACTACATGCTGCTGGCAAATAATGTATATTTTGTAAGATTGATACATCACCCATTAAGATAAATTAATCATTAGGTGGACATACTCTTTATTTTTTTTTATTTCACATTGTGTATTTTGGAGTTTTTACTAAAGAAAATAAAAAATCTACATAATTAATGCTGTTGGGCTAAAAACTCTTTGAGGGATCTGGGGTGATAGAAAAGACCTCCCCTGTCCGCCATTTCAATTTGGCAAACGATGCACCAAACACCCTGTATAACAATCTCCATCCTAAAAACAAATCGCTATAGAATACATACGAGGGAAGTTCAAAGCTAGTTGACATTTTGCCATTGTCACCCTTCACAATCTCAGCCAAGGACAGACATTTGCTGCTTGTCTCCTCTGTTATCCTTACAGAACTTGGTTCCTCATCTTTTGGTTCTGGAAAAAACATTGAACGCGTTTATCAAAACTACTCCCTAATTTTTTATACCTGGTATAATAATGGCCTGATCCACTAGCTGAAAAATGTAGCCTTGTTTGATTTCGATAAAATAGACTTGATCAAAGCTGCTCCTATCAATTTTCACTAAGGCCAATCTCCAAAAAGTTGGACAAAAACCTAAAACTTGTTTAAGTAAAATGAAAATTTACGACTTGATTTTCAAAATAGTGGAACCAATATATTGGAATCAGTATCAACATAGATAAAACAGGGCTGAAACAAGCCCAATTTTTCAGGAAAATTTTGAAACCAGGCAAGTATCGTTTTTCAAGTTACAGATATGACTGATGATGTTTATAAAATTTGTGTATCTAAAAGTTTTAATAATAATATATTATATATATATAGTAATAGGTGACCCCAAGCTTTTAACATTTCAAATCCACCAGTGGTAATTTATGCACAATTTGAAAATAGATTTATGGTTATCTGCAGGAGGTACAGCAGCAGTATTTAGTCCCATTGTTTTTGTTGCAAAAAATTATTAGTAATGCCTCCACACATCTAAAACTATGTGATATAATAGGAACTAGGGTGACTAGATACACATAATTAACAGCAATTTTAATGCAGAGTATCCAACAAGGGCAAAGTGGCACTCCGGAAGGTCTCTGAAGGGAGCGGGCAGGTCTGGTACGCGGACGGTTCTGTCTTTGAAGAGGGCTGTGGCGTCAGTCTCTGGGCCTAGAACTAGGCTACCTCTGCCTCTCGGCGGATACACCACTATTTTCCAGGTGGAAGTCTTTGCAATTTTGGCTTGCGTATCAAGATTTTTGGAGGGAAAGGGCGTAGGCTAAGGGAATGTAATGGTGCATTAAGGGCCCATTTTGGTGGTGGCCGATATTGCCTCTAATTTCATTCATTCAAATACTGTACTTTTATTGTGCTATAATTGTGAGATGGCTAGTACAATATTAAATATTAAAGTTTCATTTACCAGAATTAAATAAGCATACAAACATATAAAAAAAAGATCACAGTCACAAACTATATCCTAAGAACTTGACATGAAGCACGGTTGCAAACAGATTTGCTGCTTCCAGCTATCACTTCAATCCTTGCATATGTTCCTCCAATGTGTCCTTTCACTAAACGTTCTGGGTTTATCACCAGGCAGTCATCGATGTTCTTCACAAAATGCTTCAAATTTGAAGGAGTAATAAACACATGCGGCTTTGTATCTATCATACCATACTGCTCGAATAATTCATGATCAACACCCAAACCTTTCACTGGAGGATACAATGGGTAAAAATTATGTTGCTTCAATAAGTGGGACACCAGTCTACCTAACCTGTCAGGAGCAGTTTGTGATATTTTATCATAATACAACTCATAGTTGCTTAGATGCAACAAGACATCAACACTTGTAATCCCAATTACCAGTCCATTGATGTTGATCATTGCTGGATCAGAAACAAACTTGATATTTGGATGGTTATCTTTAACTTTGTAAGGTGGTGTTGGGTACACTGGACGATGATGTACATCTTTATGTGATGATACTATAACCAGTTGAGTACTGCTTAGTTGAACAGTGTTTGCTATGTTCTCTATCAGCCCCTCGAAAAATGATCTGTAACTCTGCAGGATGTCCCCATTCTTGACACTATCATGTGTAACATCAAGGAAGGGTCCTAGCATGATCCAAACATGTGGTCTATATTCTTCTATGTACTTCAACAAATCATGTAACGGCTCATAGGATAGGTTTTCTGAAAATGTATAAGGTCCTGCCGAAACGACTATTTCTAAAGGACCATCAGCAACAGGAGTTTCTTCTGGAAGTGATAAAGGAACACTTGAGTAGATTTCTTCAACCACTAGATCATTTGCAGTAACTTTATTTCCCTTCACTGCAACACTTTGCCCAGGGAACAGCGAGTACTTATTCATTTTAGAAAGATTCAAATTGGTAGTGTTACATAGATTTGTGTCTGCTGTACCCTCCAATAAAACTGACTGAGCATTCATCTTTCCAGCAGTATCTGAGATTATTCGTCCATATGTTACAACATCACCTCTCAGATTGGTCAGTACACCTTCAGATAGCATCATTCCTTGATGCTTGAGTATCTCCTTGCCAAAATAATCTATGGTGGAACTAAGACTTAGTGCTTTTCTACTCAGTACTTCATACATCAATTTGGCATCTGCAGGCATTGCATTATCAGAAAAATTCTTGATTGTTATCTGAAGGCCCTCCTCTCGTTTGAACTGAGCAGTAGGTGACCCATAACTAGCTTGAACCTTGCGGGAGTCTGTACGTTGAGAGTAGTGATCTGACATCGAGACTGATGGACTGGCCTTTTCATAATCCACAGATATATTTTTAGCAGCTACTGGTGTCTTTGGTGAAGAGATATGTTTTGTAGACTGGATTCTATGCGCCTTTGGTGTCACTGACGCATATGAACTAATCACAGACTGAACTTCAGGTTGCACATCGCTTGTCTCTTGTCTTTTAGGCGTAGCGATCGTCTCTTGTCTTTTCGGCGTAGCAATTGTTACATGGCTACCTGCATTTCTCTTCTCTTTTTCCAAAACGTTTCGTTCTAGCTTTTCCAAGTGCGGCAAAGTAGGCTCCGCTCCGTTCAAATTTGTTGCAGCAAAAGCGTACCACTGATCACATAAATCTTCTGGTTCAATGTTATATCTTGCACATAGTTCCAGACATTTTTCCAATACCTTTTCTTCGACGGTAATGTTAAATTGTGAGAACTGGGAGGCTATGTCTTTTGTTGTATACATATTTGCATCAATTATGATACTAATATCCTTTCAACAAAAGTATGAAAACACCGACTTTGCGACAACAATCTTCATAACCCAAATTTAAGCCTTTTGGCGCCAAATATTAGTAATTTGACATCATTTGACTGAAGAGCGACAGGCTAGCGCCTGTGTTGCCAAATGTACAATTTCATTAGGATGTTTACGATTTTACCTCCCAGGTGCTAAATGTGAGGTGTGAGATGGGAAGGATTGCGAATATCTAAAGATCGTGATTTTTTTCATATTAAATGACGCCAGCATTACGAAAAGCCATATTAATGGATTATGATGAATTGTAATAATTTAAAAAACTGGTTCAAGCAGCAGTTTTTAGCAAAATATGAAACAATATCAAAGCTTTGCCAAACTTCTTTTTTGTATATTCTCAGTTTTGATCTCTTGTAGGTAAGCAAATCAATTTTTAGAACTTGATCACTAAAGGCATGGATGGAACACAATTTTTTACATTTTTCACGTTTTGTTTGGCTCTAGGTCGGGTGGTTCATGTTATAGACTTATGATGAACAACAATATGGCATCAACCCTCCAAGGAACAGGTTCCCATCAAAAATAGCTCAATTTTAGTCTGAAGAATCCTCATGCATCCTTCTAAATCTAGAACACTAACTCTTTACGTACTTGAACATGGGGTAGATATTTTTGGTAAGGTCTTCTTGCGTTGCTTCACATCAAAACATTTTCCATCAATCCACATTCGAATAGGTTTTGAAGCTCCCATGGTTCGCAATGTTCTACTAGACATTGGGCTCTTAATTCAGTTGCCTCAAATACTGTCACACGTATAAAATTTTCACTCAAACTAGGAGTATGATTTATGATTTCGAGCCACCGGTTGGATGATTATTATAATATAATTTCCTTTTATTTTTGAAATCCTTCATTCAAAACATAAATAAATACAGCTGATACACAAAACATACGCACAAAATATATAGCTGATAGCTGATATAGCACGGAACAGTAAGGGTGACAATGCCGAGCATAGCACTCAAAATAGAAAGAGTGAGCAGAAACAATTCTCCTTGCCATTTTATTTGTTATAGCAGACTACTGCTAAGGAGCTAAGGCAACGATAACTGGCCCGAGTAAAGATAACATGGCCACGCAACACAACTATTGAAATATACTCTACTAGACTATCCGTAGCTCATACACAATACTTAAAAATATGCAAATGAAGATTGAAAAACTACCGCTTTGACGTTATAAATATGTCCGCCGTTACCCCGGGATAGACATACGTTTTGAAAGTTGATCTTGTCACCTTGAGGCATTGCCAGCTCATCGGACGATTTTGCTACCTCTGCTATCACCAATTCCTTGGACCTTTTGCTCGAGGCCTAGTTTTGAGATTTTTTCAGAAATGAATGCCAGTACACAAGAATACTTACAAGAACACTGGATTAGTTCATGTTTCTGTAAATTTCTTCTTATAATGAAGTATTACAGTGTTTTTCCATGATAAGGATCAGACTAGGTTAAACTCAGTAATCACACAATCTTACATCAAGTATTTGTTTGCAACGCTTACTTAAATATAATCAAAAAGTAGAAAAAACACGTTTGCTTATAAGTAAAAAACAACTGTAACGTGATACATGGTTGAAGTCGTAGAAAAAGCTGCTATTAGATATAGTGTAGCACTTTTTTAAAACATTATCATGTAGTGCCTAAATAGCGCCATTAGTTTTTTGACATTTCTTAAAATAAATTCACACAAAAATAAAAACGATTTGGCCAAATTTTATTTATTCCCAAGTACCTCAGTATATAATTAATTCCTTTGTGCATGCAATGTGCGCAATTTATTTACAAAACATAGAGTGTCAACCCTTGCACACAAGTAGATGAGTATGCAAGGCTCACCTAGTTTCCTGCACAGATATCCTGTTTCCCTCAGAAGAGTTGGGAGTAGACACTTGACACCCACGTCACAACACCAAGGCACCACTGAGAGACAATCGAGAATCCTATAGTGAACACCACTAACGAAAAAAGTAGCTAAACCGAATAGAGTTCTGTATGGAGCTATGAACGCGTAGACATTCCGCTGCGCCGACGGTTGCCGATAGACTGAAGACTGAAGCGTGCGAGTCATAGTGCGAGTGCTGTACCTCGCTGCGGCGATACGGTACGGCCGGGTAGTACAGCCACGCCCTTTTCCAGCTCCCACTCCACGCGTCTGCTCCCGAAGCAACTCGATGCTTACGTTGACCGGTAGCAGACGGGTGGAGTGGGAGCTGGAAAGGGGCGTGGCTGCACTACCCGGCCGTACCGTAGGTTAATAACTGTGGCACGCTGGTGATTTTCGATTGTACAAATGAAGCCAGAATTGTGGAACGACTTGATTTTTCTTCACCTAATATAATTAATCTTAGAAGTGACGCTTGAGGTTCTCTAGGGTTTTCCTCGCCCAAGTGCGAATGCAGTCACTAAAAACCATCTTCCCCTACTAAATAGTAGAGAAAATGAAAATCGTACTTTGCCTATCAATGATATTGTAATTTTAGATCAAATACTTAATAAATATATTTATATGATAAAACATTGTTTTTTTCCAATTTGGAATAAGTCCAGTATTCAAAAAGTATTTTATCCTATAAAACTGGGCATTTATAAAAGTGTTCAGAAACATTATTTTTCCTTAGCTGGGAGAAATATGGCGGAAACTGACACTCTTATATAGATCAAAATTGATGTATTCTGGTTGACCGGTGATCTAAGCCATAGAACAGTAAGCAGACACGTGAATCCTAACATTCCTAACCTACGTATTCCCTGTCGTGAATTTTTAAATCTATTTTAAAAAATATCATTTTTACTGACTTTTGAATTGTGTTAGGCGTTAACAATGTATCAGACCCGAACGATTGTAAAAAATGTCCTAACAAGTCACTCTAGTAGTAAACATTATATTGCTTCACTAAATCTACTTAGAAAATTTAGTTCAGGTCAGATATTATCTGTTTATCCATACCTTGAATTCATGTATTTTTTATTCCAGATGATAAATACAGAATCAAAGAAGAATTCCATGGAAGACCTCTTTATTTGGATGTTCAAGCAACCACGCCATTAGTAAGCATTTGATTCTTAAAAACAAAGATGACTCTCATTCAAAAAGCTATTTTCAGGACCCAAGAGTATTAGATTCAATGCTACCCTATTTTACTCATTATTACGGAAATCCACATTCTCGAACGCACGCGTATGGTTGGGAAGCAGAAGCTGCAGTAGAACAAGCTAGGACATACATTGCTGATATTATAGGGGCCAATCCTAAAGAAATCATATTCACTTCAGGAGCAACAGAAAGTAATAATATTGCAGTGAAAGGGGTTGCAAAGTTTTATGGAGCCAAAAAGAAGCACATAATCACTACTCAAACAGTGAGTGTAGCTAAGAATGTCAGGGTCAATTAACCCTTAACCCGCCATGTGGCATCTGACAGACTACTCAATAAATTTAATTGACTGTATTTCTTAAAACGGACCGCCCCCAAAACTTGTCACCCCACCTAATCCTTCTACTATTGGTCCATTATATTTTGCCTGACTGGCATTGTTTTATGCCCGTGTGCAAATAAACTATTTCGGTCCGTTAATTCAGCGTAGTCTCCTAGACGCCACATGTTCGTTTGTGTTAGAAACATCGTGTGATCTGATATGGCTGGTCCGTCGAAAAGAATTCGTTTTGAGGATGATAAGTTTGAAGAAACTGTTCTACAGTGGTATAATGAAGTTGATAGTGATGCGAGTGATGTTGACAGTGCGCCAGAAGATGAAGTTATTGAATCTGAACACGGCACGGCTTCTGACTTTTCTGAAGAAGACTGTAATGAAAGTGATAGTGATGAAGACAAAAATACTGCTGATTCTGAAGTTATGGAAGGAGAAAATAAATATTTTTACGGAAAAAACCGTTTCAGGTGGTGCACTAGTGAGGTAATTCCTTCGTCGCGCGTAAGAAAACACAACATAGTCATGAAGGTTCCAACTGTAAAAAGAAGAGCTCGCGACCTAGGTAACAGCGCAAATCCTATCCCGGTATGGAACCTATTTTTCTCCGACGATATTTTAGAACAGATAATTATATGGACAAATCACAAACTCTTCCAAATACGTTCAAACTACAAGGATAAAAACAGTATCAGCCATGTAAGAGATTTAGATAAAATCGAATTGAAAGCTTTCCTAGGTTTGTTGATTTACACATCGGTATTCAAATCGAACCATGAAAATATAAAAACAATTTTTGCTACCGATGGATCGGGCAGAGAGATATTCCGGGCAGTAATGAGCCAAAATAGATTTGCAATTCTATTAGCTGCTCTGAGATTTGATAACCCTGAGACAAGAATTTATCGTAAGGAAGAAGACCCAACAGCAGCAATTTCTGTAGTTTTTACGAAGTTCATTGAAAACTGTCAAGACTGTTATGGTATGGGAGAATCAATGACAATTGATGAGATGCTCGTTAGTTTTAGGGGGAGAACTCATTTCAAAATGTACATGCCTGCCAAACCCTGTAAATATGGCATAAAGCTTATGTGTCTCACTGATGCTAGGACGAGTTATCTTTGCAATGCTTATATTTACTGTGAGAAAGGATCCGATGGATTTGCAGAAGAACAGAAGTTTTCTAAACCGACCCAGGCTGTTATACGCCTCGCTAAACCTTTTTTTGGGAGCAATCGGAATATAACAGCTGATAATTGGTTTACCTCCATGGAGCTTGTAGATGTTTTGCTCAAAAATAAACTTACCTACGTCGGAACAGTTAGGAAAAATAAAAGAGAAATTCCCACGGAGTTCTTGCCGAACAAAAAGAGAAAACTAGGATCATCATTATACGGATTTCGAGAAGAGGTCACCATGGTTTCCCATGTGAGTAAGCCTGGAAAATCGGTAGTCTTAGTTTCTTCTATGCATGATAAGTAATTTACTGATCCGGAAACACAAAAGCCAGAAATCATTGCCTATTATAATCGGAACAAGGGAGGTGTAGATACAATTGACGAGAAGTGTTCTAAAAGTTCTTCAAGTCGACGCACCCGTAGATGGCAGCTTGCGATATTCTTCCGTATACTTGACATTTCTGTAATAAATTCGTATATTTTACATCAATGTTTCAAGGACAACGTAGCAGTTCGGGAAAAATCAGTGTTTGCAAAAGAACTAGCAGCTGACTTAGTTCGGGAAAACATGGAGAGGCGCCAGAAAAATCCTCGAGTACCTCGCGATATACGCAGCACTATTAGTAGAATTTTGGGAATACCGGAAGTAGATCAACTACAAGCAGAAGAGGATCTAGTGCTTCAAAAATGCAAGGGATGTTACTTATGTCCACGAGCAAAACACCGTATGACAAAATATTTATGTGTGCAGTGTAAACGTGCAATTTGCTTACAATGTTCGAAACCATTATGTGATATGTGTATAAACAAACGAAATATTTAGCTCTTGCTACAAGGCAACTTGGTTAGGTTTTAATTGATTTTTAAGTTGGATTATATAATATACTACTTTTTCAACAAAGTTGTCCAAAAATATTACAACATTTTCACTTTTTTTGTATAAGCTGAATTTAAATTTTCTTTAGAGTAAATATTGTGTTTAAGTTTATTACTATCACTATAATTGCATTAATAATACCGAAAATGTATAAAGTATCGTTATTTTTAGTAGAAGTAACCTCATTTGTCACTACAAAATTCCAAAAATAGAGTTAAAAAAAAAACGAGCGTCATTTTGTTTATTTTTGATAAGTAGTCTGTCAGATGACACATGGCTGTTTATGCCAAAAATTCTCACATGGTGGGTTAAGGGTTAAGTATACTCACTCGCACTGATAAGACAAATCCAGAGAAATTCTAATATACCTACTGTCAGTCGCACTGCTAAGATGAAAGCAGTAACACCTCATATGTTAAACCATTTAGCCTGTAACCTGTGGAATATAATTTTTTGCCCACATACATATCCACACGCATAAAACATAACCATCCTTCTGAGGCTGTCAGATTAACCATTGTGAGTGAATTTTTCACTGCCACATATTATGTATTTTGTAAGCTCAAATTATATTTTGAAAACCTGTGAAAGAAACAAATTTTTATGTCATACATATTTTTGGAAAGAAACTATGATTATAAGAGATTTATAATATCACACTTATATTTCAACAGGAGCATAAATGTGTTCTGGATTCCTGTAGAGCATTGGAAGCAGAAGGATTTACAGTCACTTACCTCCCAGTACAAGAAAATGGTATAATTTCTATGGAAGATCTGGATAAAGCAATTACTCCAGAAACATCTCTTGTTTCTATTATGACAGTAAGTTATACATTTTCCTTTTGATATAAACAAAAGTTGTTTCAAGGTTTTTTTTTACAAAAATCATCTGTTGACTCAAATTGTAGTTCTCATTAAACAAAAAGCACTTCACACCGAAAAGTAGATAGAATTTAACATTAACATATTCACACATCACATATACATAGTCATGCCATAAGTTCTGTCCCTCGTTTTCAAACAAGTGTAGACCTGTTAATACTTGTCCGATTGTTTACATTGTGGTGTCAGTTGATTAAGCGCTTTTCGGGTATTTACATATACCTCAGTTTGTATTGATCTCTCGAAGCATAACGATGGAGTGGGGCAAGGCAGAGAACCGTATTGCAGTGATAGCTTTACATAAGTGTAATCACAGTGCTAGTCAGATTTTTGAACTCTTACGCGGCCTTCAAATATCGCGTAAATTTGTGTCTAGGACCATTCAGCGGTACAATGAGACGTCCTCTGTTGATGACAGGCCAAGAAGCGGAAGACCTCGTCAAGTAAGGACTCCAGCAGCCATCAAAGCCGTAAAAGCCAGGATTCAAAGGAATCCACTCCGGAAGCAGAAGATCCTATCCAGGGAAATGAAGATTCCTGTCCGGACGATGTCGCGCATCATTAAACAAGACCTAGGGCTAGGGGCTTACCGGAGACGTACGGGCCAGCGACTTACGGCCACCTTGCGACACATCAGGGCGACAAGATCCAAGAAGCTCTTGGAGAGGTACGCAGCTGGGGGATTCCGAAAGATTTTGTTCACGGATGAGAAAATCTTCACCATAGAAGAAAAATTCAACCGACAAAATGACAAAGTGTATGCAAGGAGTTCACAGGAAGCTTCGGAGATCATTCCGAGAGTTGAGAGAGGCCACCACCCTGCGTCAGTCATGGTTTGGTGGGGGGTGTCCTACGAAGGAGTCACTCAGCTCCATTTCTGTAAACAGGGCGTGAAAACAAAAGCGGCAAACTATCAGAGCGACATACTGGATCCTATCGTCAAGCCTTTAAGTGGTACATTGTTTGCCAACCAACACTGGGTCTACCAGCAGGATTCCGCCCCCGCTCACAAGGCTAAGAGTACGCAGCGCTGGCTGGAAAGCAATGTGCCAGAGTTCATTGCTGCGGAAGATTGGCCCTCAGGGAGTCCGGACCTCAATCCTTTAGACTACAAGTTGTGGGACCTGCTAGAGCAGTTGGCCTGCTCCAAAGCCCACCGTAATATCGAGTCCCTGAAAGCGGATTTGATCCGATCAGCGGCAGCTATTCCTTTGGAAGCTGTGCGTGCAGTGATAGATGAGTGGCCCGCGAGATTGAAGCAGTGTGTGAAGGCCAAGGGGGGACATTTTGAATAAAACTGTTTGATTATGAATTCTAAAAATGTTGTCGAATAAATAATATCTTTCATATAAATATATCTTATCTTGTTTCATTTTTATCATGAGATTATCATGGGACAGAACTTATGGCACGACTATGTACAGTAATGGACAAAAGTATATAGACAAATTAATATTGTGCTGTATTTCTTTTTTTAATTAATACACCAACCTGTATACATAATTCGTTATAGCATAATACTCACTCATACATAAATAAATTCATTAGACTCCCTTCAATAAAAAATTAATTGAAAAAACTGGAACTATGAAGGACAAAAATTTATAGACAAAGCAAAACAATTATAGACAAAATAAGCAAAGTTCATTGAATTATAGAAAACCAACCATGTTTGTGTCAATATTTTGTAGCATAACCATTATTATCAATCACCGCCTGGCATCGTCTCGGCATAGATTGTAGAAGTTTCTTGATATAAGATTCATCAACCTGTCTCCACTTTTGCTCTAAAGCGGCAAAAAGTTCATCCTTGTTTGAATAATTTTTATCTCGTATTTGCTTATCTAAGTATTCCCATAGCTTTTCAATGGGATTTATATCGGGAGACTGTGAAGGCCATTTGAGAAAAGGTATTTTTTCATCCAGAAAGAATTTATATGCGAGATTTGAAGTGTGCTTCGGGTCATTATCTTGCTGGACGATTGATCTTAAGGGCATATTGTCTTCCATATAGGGTAACATGACATGCTTTAGTATGTCTGTGTATACAAACTTATCGATAATGCCATCTATTCTATGTAATGGTCCCATCCCAAACCCCGAAAGGTACCCTCAAACCATAACAGACCCGCCTCCATGTTTAACAGTGGGAAAAGTGTACTTGGGGTTCAATCTTTGTCCACTAGGACGTCTAATGTAATGAACACCATCTGATTTAAACATATTAAACTTGGATTCGTCACTGAAACATACCCTCTTCCAGTCACAGATGCTCCAATCAAGATGCAACCATGCAAATTGTAATCGGTCCGTACGGTTTTTCTTCGAGATTAGCGGCTTCTTACTCGGGCGGCGTGCAAATAACTTCAAATCATTTAATCTTCTACTTATAGTTTTCATAGAAACACTGGCAATTCCTTTTGTCTCGATTTCGGCTTTTGTTTGTCTTGGGGTTTTTAACGGATCTTTGGACGAAATTACTTTTATTAATCTAACTGATCTAGCATTTAGTTTTATAGGTCGACCACTTCTCTTAGAGGCTTCCAAGATACCTTTTTGTTTATATTTGTTCAGTATTGCCCAAACTGCTTTACTCTTTAGCTTCAAATTTTTGGCAATGTTTACTTGACATTGACTATCTTTGTATAACTCAATGATCGTGGTTTTCACATCGAAAGAAATTTCTGGACCACGCGGCATGGTCTTAAAATCACTCAACTTATTCCACAATACTTGATGAACACAAACTAATCCTCTTGTGACACGAAACTGTACTAAACTAATGTTGAAAAGAATTTGTCTACATATTTTTGTCCCTCATAAAAAAGTGCTTATATTCAGACTTGTATTGTGTTCATTGCAGATAATGTAAAAACAAGGAATTTATTTTTTCTACTAATAACGCATTTGTTTATGGAGCATTGAAGTATGAATTTCTTTTCTAAAGGTATTTAGGTAAATATTCATATTTGTCTATATACTTTTGTCCATTACTGTATATGGATCAAGTACAGTGAATCAATATTTTTGACACATTTCAAAGTGTGGAAAATCCACTAATGTCCCTATAACTAATTTGTAAATTGTTAGGTGATGCATTATGTTGAATCTGCAGTAAGTAAATAATGCTTGATTTGTTCAAAAAATTTAATTCTAACAATCTGTATTTTTGAGTAATTTTTTGTTGTTAAAAAAAATTGGGTTATGCATTTCCAAATTCATTATCACTGAATATCACAATCAATAGCTCTTTTCAGACATTTTAAAAATCCACATAATTTAGAAATAGTTTTTTATATTTGGTAAATACTGGATGCTTATTTTTGACCACTATTAATTTGAAATTAAATAATATAGATTTTTAAATTCAAAGGTGAACAATGAGATAGGAGTGAAACAACCTGTCGCAGAAATTGGAGCTCTCTGTAAACAGAAAAAAGTATTTTTTCACACCGACGCAGCACAGGCCGTAGGAAAGGTGCCTTTAGATGTCAATGAAATGAATATTGACCTGATGTCAATAAGTGGGCATAAGATTTATGGACCAAAAGGTTAGTACCTTTAGAGTTTCCCTTGATAAATCGTATAACTTTGCAATACCGAATATGTTACGCATACAATGTCAGAAAAACTCGACATAATGTCACTGTTCAAGATACGTCATACCCAGTATAACCAAAGCTTTTTTAAAATTTCAGGCATAGGTGCAATTTACATAAGAAGGAGACCTCGCGTCCGTGTCGAGGCGTTGCAAAGTGGAGGCGGTCAAGAGAGGGGCATTCGAAGTGGCACAGTGCCCGCCCCTCTAGCGGTCGGGATGGGCGAAGCCTGCCGATTGGCCAAGAAAGAAATGGCGTACGATCATGCGCATATTTGCAAACTGAGCAAGAGGTAAGAGGTAGATCAAGAGACAAAAATGTACATATCAAATAAAAACGTTAACATTTTGTAGATGTTGAATATTTACAATACTGTAACTAATTTATTTTCTCTTACAGGTTGTTAGATCAAATTTGTGGTTCTTTGAGTCATGTTGTCAGAAATGGAGATCCTGAACAGAGTTATGCAGGTTGTATAAATTTGTCATTTGCGTTCGTTGAAGGTAAGTCTATTCCCAAAACTTTGATCCTCTGGAACAACATTCATTATTAATGACTAATTTACAGATTCAATAGAGTTTGACAAGATTAAGTTTTGTAATCATTCCTTGTTTTAGGTGAATCACTACTTATGGCTTTAAAAGATGTAGCACTCTCAAGTGGTTCTGCTTGTACATCAGCATCATTGGAACCATCTTATGTTCTTAGGGCAATAGGAGCAGATGAAGACTTGGCACATAGTTCTATAAGGTATAAATTAGGCTTATTAGTGAAAAAGTGATATTATAGGAGTGAATATACGGTATTTGGCTTTTCAGTATTAACAACAAAAAATAGCTTGTTTTATTTTCATATTCATCATGTCACAAGACTATATTATATAAGGTACATATTTGACAGGTTCAGATAGTAGATAGGATTTATACAGGGTGACTTCGAAGTTGAGTCATTTATTTTAACAGTGAGTAGATCTGATCAAAAGAAATGTTTTTTTCCTTTACCATTTTTCTGGTAAAATTAAAGTAACAAAGTTATAGCCCTTTGGAAGTTTGAGTACCGCCCTGTCTCAACAATAATATTATGTGCTCGTGTTTGGCAACAACGGATATAATCCGCCTTATCGCATCGGAAACAAAAAAGCGAAAGAATTTGGAACGATGTTTTTACAATTATTTTATTCAGTTGTATACAGTCAGTGTTAGTCGGTAACGTGTGAGTGAATAGTGGTCTCTGTTGCGTGGCTCAAACGAAATAAAAAATGGCTCATGTTTATGCGGATCGGTTTCCCAATCGAGTGCAACTAACCCCTCGTGCCTTTGTTAATGTAGTACAACGGGCTCGTGAATCAGGTGACTTAAAACCTCACAGGGGACGGCATGCCGGTGCTCCAAGACCTCGCGATCAAATACAGGTCCGCACTGAAATACTTGTCGGGAGGATACTTTATAAAACAAGGTATTTTTATTTTATTTTTACACACATTTTGGTTTATCTTCCTTCTACAATCATTATCTGAAAATTAATGACTCAACTTCAAAGTCACCCTGTATATTCTCGATCGGTCTTGGGAGCCGACCTTTACCATGCTTGATTTCGAAATGTCAGTGACCTTGAAGTCGATTTGAATTTTCAAATTACCTTGACCTTGTAAATAAATATTCTGATTGTTACAGTTTTATAGGTACCAGGCTAAAATGTGTAGCCAGGGGTTCACATTTAATTTTTAATAAAGATAATTCAGACGTGATATAAATATTATTAGCTAAATAAATTCATTTGTCCTTTATTAAAAATAACAAGTATTCAGTTCTGTCGATCTTGAAACAAGAGAATCCTATAGCTCACAGATCTTTAGGGTAATGGTTGGTTTTGGAAGCTAGAAATGCTTTTGATAGTGAGCCGCAGCCATTGCTTTCATTGCTTGTAATATTCTTTATTATAAGGAAATGACCAAAAGTAGAAAAAGAAGACGAGTATAAAAATCAATTGACATACAAGCTGCCAGAGAAGAGACGCTCAGTAGTAGCGGCAAAAACGTACACGACCTCGAAAAAAATTAAGATACATTGATTATTATATTATTTTATGTTATTCATGCCTTTTGTATCCAAGGATCGATGTTTTTTTACATAGTTGCAGTAACTTACCACTAAAATTCACAAAGATATACTTACCAGAGTAAATGCGGGGACCACTGGCAAAAGGGTATCAGGTTACGGTGACACAATTTTCGAGAACCACTAAAAACGTTTTTTTGATACGTATATATAAATTTTTAGTGTCTCTTTTCATGAAAATATGTATTATAATGTGTATTTAGCAATACATAAGTATTCATATATTGTTATATCAGCTACATATACAGAGACTTGTTCATATTTGCAGTGAAAGTCTGGAATGAACATTTCGTTAATTTTCTAGCATCCTGTGGCTAAATTTCATCGTATGCTCCAAATAAAGCATGGTATTTTACACTATTTAGTTGGTGTCTTTCCACAATTTAATATACCGTATATTCACCCATAAATTTTTCAATTATTTTTTTCTCCATTGTGACAACATGCAAACGGCACGTTGCTTTTTTTTCTTAAAATCATCTTCGTTTGCTAATCTATTAAGATTTTCTGATTTTCATTTTTTTAACTTTGGCTAGTTGGACAGTAACCGGGTACTTTCTACATATTGATATAATCAGTTCAAAATCTTAGGCATAAAAAAATTATAAAATTGTCATTAGTATCGAGTTCAATGAGAAATTATCGATTTCAGAATGTTGGACAATGTTTACATGTTTTTTCGTGTTGCGTGTTGCATTCTAATATGATCAAAAAGTCGGAAACGGGGTTTGAGTTTTCTCCAAATGATTTTTTGACTACACTCTAAAATCATCTGAAACTCGAAAACAAAATTTTAGAACCTTCTGAACTTTTTTTTGTTCATAACTCCGCGGCCACTGGACCCACAAGCTTTTGCGACATAATATTATATAAGAAATTTATCAAAACCTTAGCAACACATTCCAAGTTAGAGAGAGGCATCAAGTGTTACCTGACAGGCAAACAGACTGACATGTTTTCACCTGATTATGTTTCAGATTTGGAATAGGTCGGTTTACAACAGAAGAAGAAATAGATTATACAGCAAAAAAGTGTATCAAACACGTGACAAGATTGAGAGAAATGAGTCCTTTGTGGGAAATGGTACAAGAAGGTATTGATCTCAAAACAATTCAGTGGTCGCAGCATTGAACTTTTCCATGTCTCCTCGTACTGGAGAAAGCTTTAAGTCATATTCCATCACATTTATTTGAGAATGTTTAGGATACCATCACATTACAAAGATAGTGCATAGTTCTTTTCGCGTTTTTTTGCGGTTACGTCACAGTGCCATACAAAATAGATAGAGATTGACTAATGATAGCATGTGCATAGCTTAACTTACCTGAAAGAAGTTGCACACTGCTACTCGCTATTGCACACACGCGAATTGGGTGATACTGGGCTGTTGTTTTCACTCACTTTCTGATAATACTTCCAATACAGATTGTATATATATATATATATATATATATATATATATATATATAATGCATAACACAGAATATCTATGTGTGAGAGAGATAAATATGTATATGAAAGTAGTTCCCGTAGTTTTACTGTGACCCGCCAAAAACCGTGAAAAGACCCATATTTTCAATTCAGTGTATATTTTGTACTCCAGTCAAAGTAAAAATTTGGTCTACAAACATTCCCACTGAGCTGAAAATTGTTGCGACATTTTATATACCATGATGAATAATAGGTATATCAAAACTTCTCATACATCCTTTATTATTATTTTAAGACGATTTATTATTAATATTATCCTTGATGAGATTTAGTGGAGCAATGGACTTTCAGATACTCTTCTGATCATATGTGGCATATATAATGTGTGTATCCCATCAACTGTTCAATATGAAAATATATGTGGAATCATGGATGTATGTGACATCCTAAAATACATAGAGGTTGTGTCAAAAAAGTGTTAGTATCTTAGAAAGGGAAGTTCGAAAAAATTCGTACCCACTTGAAAATTGCTTCAGGGTTTCACATGTTACAATTGATATGTCAAAAGCCTGATCCTTGGTGCGCGAAATTTTCTATTTCGACGAAGGCTTAAAGCATTTTCAAGTGTGAACGAATTTTTCTCGAAAATACGACTTCCCTCACGTTTATTCTGAGCGCACTTTAAGCCGACCAGGATATCGTCGCCTTAGTAAGAAAACCGCGTAACTCCATTTTAGTAAATTTTACAGGAGAAGGAAAAAACGTTTTGTGAGAGTTACATCAGTGATCAAATATTTTTGAATTTTGCATAAATATAGAAAAACACATTAGATTTAACATTTCGGGTAAAAATATAGAAATTATGTGATTGTAATGATTTAAATAGGAGTTACGCTACTTTCTTATGAAAAATTGTAAAATAATTGGAGATACATGGTTTTCACAAAAGAAAATAAATACTAGGTAACTACACAAAACTTATTTTATATTAAACAGAATACGTATTTTAAATCCAATAAAGAAATTCATAACGTTTAAACGAAAAAGTAAACTTACAAAAAAATCATAACGATTAAACGAAAAAGTAACTTTAAAAAACCTATTCATACGGAAGTTCTTCATAAAATTGATGATAATCTTGTAGAAGTCCTTATTTCAGAATTTGGAGGTGCTCATATTTCTCCTTCTAAATTTTTCTGCGTTCTGTGTATAAAGATGGCAAATCGTCAAACTTGCACGGAACCATTTTTTTATTCATTTGGTTTAATGTACACCAAGCATCTGTATGCCTTATCTTGAATTGGATTTCAGTTTGGCAAGTACCTTAGAGTCTTTATGTCAGTGACAACGGGGTCGCCAGCGACCCTACCTGGACATATAGAAGTATAAAATTTTATAGTTCCATTTTCTTAAAGAATGAATGAGTGAGATATTTGACATTATATGGAGATGGACTTGATCTTGCCTTCTGGCAGTAGTAAGCATAATCGGCGGGAAGGTTTATTTTCCGATTTCTAATCTGTATTTCAATGGTTGCATGCACCGAGTCCACCTCCATCTGAGTATGACCTTTGAACAAATACTTTTGAATCAACACGATTTTATGCTGTGCAGCTAAGTTTACAAATGCGTTAGCTGATGTTGAGTTGTGGTTTTGACCCATGCAACCATCACTAAAAAAAATCATTTCACGTAAACCTTCATTCTTTCTTATCTCTTGTTCAACAAAAACAGAAATTATGCTGGAAAATTCGTTTGCAGTCAAGGCCCCTTCGCTTTCATTCCACAGGAAACAAAATCCTTCATTGGATTTCAGGTGATAAATAGTGAAGTTGTGTACTACCAGTTTGGTTTTGTAGTACATTGCAGCGACTGTCGATTTGGAAGCTAACAACACGCTTTGTAAATCCATTGGATACACGTTTACTGTAACATCGCTGGTAGATTTGTCTTTTTCCTTTGATTGACGTGCCTCTAGCTTTGAAGTTTGGTGTAGGTTATACTTATCTTCAGATAAGTTCTTCGTTTTGTATGCCTCGCACACGTCGCACAGATCTTTTTTGGGTTCAGCTCTTCAAATATCTTCATGAACGCAATTTTCTTTCATTCCAAGCCATTGTATTCCAAAACTTTTGGAAAATTTTTAAACGGTTTTCTTCCATCATTTTTTGACACTGAATTGCAGATTTTTGTCTACTAAGAGAACAGATGCACGGATTTTCCAAGAACTTCCCTAAAACCAAAAAAAATATTTTTTTGTTTTTTGTTGCATAACACTATGTACCTGGTTTGTTAATGTTGTAATTCCATGTACCGGTAATTTCTGTTTTACCTTGGTAAGGCTGACCTCTTAAACGTTAATATTTATTGATATTGTAGTTCCATGATTCAGACAATTTTCTCTTCACTTCTAGTTCTTGTAGTATTTAGGCTGGTATCGGGATCGTTTCTTTCTTCGTTGTAATTGGAATTATCTTCATTGGCAGAGTTACTACTATCAGAATCGTTTTCCTCAGGAATGTAAGAAACATCCAAGTCATCGGCGGCGCCGTCGTCGTCTTCAGAATTATTCGTGATAGTATTATTGGTGTTATCTTCGTCTTGCTCCGTTCCTAGAATCTCTGGATTGTCCAGTTCATTGTTCATGCTAATGGCATCATTTAAATCGGTCTGCAAGTCAAAATCGGTCGAAATACTAGCATCTTTTAAGCCTGTCGGCACTTCTAAATGGTTAAAACTGGTCGAGTTATCATTGTTTATGCTAGCAGAATCGTTTGAGTCTGCCGGAAATTCTATATGATCAAAACTGTTTAAAATCTTCGGTGGTGGAACCTCATTACTATTTACAAGAGTTTCATTTATTTAACTAGATGGTTGTGCGTGAATAGGAGACAAAATTCCATCTTTTCCAACCTCGTATTCAACAATATCCACACAAGAATGGCTTGCTTGTTGGTTACTCAACTTCATTATAAGTTTTGTGCGAGACGACATCCTAAAATTAAAAGTAACTAATGTAACTAGGTATCGTTTTTGTTCTGAGACATTATTTCTAATTTAACCGACTTTTTGTAACAAATTTACTCATCAGACTTTAAATTAAAAAATAACTAGGATTAAGAAGTTATACGAAAAAAGAACGGAAAAACGCGTAAGTACATAATAAACACATTTAATTGAAGTTGGAAAAGCGCGTATGTCCATAGCCCGTAAAAAAGTTATAATTGAAATAAATATAATACATTTTTTAAATCAATTAAACTCTTAAAAGTACCATAACAACCTTACTTTTATATTAAATTAGTTTTTTTACTTCAAAACGTGTTGGTTTTTTTTTCACAAAACTTTCACCAAACTTGCAAGCACCTGCATACACGCTGGAACTATGCGAAAACTGGGAGTTACGCGGATTTCTTAACCAAAATTTAACACAGGGACATACGTCATTTTCTTGATGTAGTTTTGAGGCGGGAAATATTTTTGTGGCAGTTACGTGGATTCCACACTAGTTAGGTTTGATGTTTTTTTTATTAGATAGCGCTAAAAGGCCAATATGCCCCAAACGTGGAGTTACGCGGTTTTCTTACTAAGGCGACGATATGTTTGAATGGTACCAATCAATATTATAAACTTATTTTTTTAGTTGTCAGACATTTCGTGTTCAAGTATCTTGTATAAAAACCTTTGGTTGCTCAGGGAATGAATTCATAGAAAAATCACTGACTGTATAAGTAATATGCATTTTGGTATAAGTGGCATACATTAATGCTTTATATGTTGTTCATTGAATGGTTGATGGCTTTCCCATAATATATGCCATAAAAGAGTACTAAAGCTCATAAATAGTGACTCAAGGGATAGAAGTAATTGAATAACTTTTATAGATAATTGTATCCACTCCTATTAGAGAAATATGACACAATATGATATTTTTGACATTTGAACCCAAATAAAATAAGGTTCCACTCCAAGCAGTTATGAGTTTAGATATATTATCCATAATGGTGTAACTTAAGGTATGTACCAAATTACAGCTTTGAGGGAATTTTTACAAATATGCAATATTTTGTCTGGGCTATTGTGGAGGCTATCATATTGATGGTTATACATACGATAAAAATCATAACATTTATAAACTGTATTTGAAGAGCGTTTTATAGCAAAATCGTGTTAACGAAATATGCATTTTATATCAAAGATCAACTGTTGTGTGATACCCTGAGGTATCTCAAATTGCCGATAATCAATATTTACTTTGAAATAGAAAAGTGTCTATGATCTATTTCCATATTATCAAATGATTTCAAACTCTTGATTATGTTGGTGAATATGTATTAGAAATACTGAATTTCTTGTAATTCATTCTTTTTCATGGTCATTTAATTGTATCACCTTGAATACCTTAAGCAATGATTTTTTTTTTGAAGTATTTAGGAACTCAGATGTATACAGAGCAAGTTGTAAAATATGTAAATATTAAAGATTTTTTGTTATCCCAGACTTTTATTTGCAAGATGTGGAGTCAATTAGATTATCTTCCCACACATTGATATACATTCATTTAATTTTTTTAAATATGGACATTTTATTTTCCTAAAATGAACTGAAAAACAAAAATGGTCATTACAAATTTCCAAGTATATCAAACTCAAAAATATCTATTATATATATTTTTACTCAGTCGCCTCTGAACCAATTTTTAAAACCTCAAAGCTTTTTTGTCTCTGGCACTGTAGTCACCTTGTGCAAAAATTTGAGTGATAAAAAAGGTGTACTTGCTAAAACTGGCAAAACAATTTATTTTTAAACTTAACACTACACAAATTAATAATCACAATGTTATTCAAGCTGTCAATTGATATTCATTTTCCTGTATAGCTTGTGAAATTAAAAAAAGTGTTCTAATTCTGTTCCAACTAGCAGCTGCACTGTGTGTTATATACATGTTTTAAAACAAGTTTAAAGTTACAGGAACTGATTAATAAATAAAGGATCAGAACAATAAGCTTACAATAATATAACAAGCTGATAATAATACATTGATCTTTCATAAATAACAATAAAATCATTATTTACATCTTAACATCATAAGTCTGATCAAACATCACTCTAAAACAAGTCTTTGTAAGTTTCATTGTTAGTTGAATTATTGAAGATACCTCCCAACCAATGAATTAAAAGGTAAAATATACAAAATAACTATCATCTTTAGAAAATATCAAAGGTAGCTAAAGAAAATCAGTGCAAGTCAAGAAAATGTTGAACCCTTTGATACCCACTTCTTTTGTAAAAAGAAGTCAATGGAATAATGGAAAGTATGTACATTATGGAAGACCTTTTGCACTTCATTTTTTAAATTTTTGAGTAATTCATCATTATAATAGATACTTGTAAAAGGTTGGGCTAGTACAGTGAACGCAAAATACAAGTTAACATAAACAATTATCATCTTTTGGCTCTTCATCTTCATATTGGGTGATTTTGAAGCCATGCTGCTCCATAGTTTGCAATTCTATCTTAGATTTATTGGAGCTAATCAGTTGGTAGGCTATGTCAATAAACATGTCCTCAATCCCTTCCCCAGTCTTACAGGATGTTTTGTATATACCTGAGATCAAATTATGACATTGTTCACTGAAAAAAAAAACTATCAGAATAAAATGATTTACTACAAATTGATGTATACCAGAATGCTTCAATTTCTGCATCCGTTACTTGAGCTACTTCGCTGACAGTATCTAATTTGTTCCCACATAGGAAAATTTTGGCATTTTCTGCATAAGTCACTATGTCCAACAGATGTTGAGATAAAATGTGGAATGATGCAGGATTGTCTAGTGAGAAAACTAGTATTGCAGCTTCTGCAAACTTATAGTAACTTGATGTTATTGATGCCACTCTTTCCATTCCTCCTGTATCCCAAAGTTGTAACTGAAAAAGCCTTATACTTAGACTCTTAAATTTGGAAATATCTAATTAATGCAAACTTCAGACTGTGAGTGTATACTGTGGTCCATATCATCAGGTTTTACTTATCATTCTGTCAGTATCAGTGGATTTCTACATAACCTTATACATAATGTATATGGAAATTTTCAGAGATAGGACAATCTAGGTACTTTTTTGCTAGAACTAAATGTTTAGCTGTAATGTAAATATTGATGAAAAAAAATACATAATTATGCATATATGTAAGCGTTTCTACACGGACTGAAAAATTTTCTGCCCTCAGGGTCACGGCGCACTAACCGCGCACTGCTAGTGCATATGAGGTTGTGTAGGGCTGTGGAATTCAAAGTTTTATCCAATTTCCACTATACATCATTGATGATGATTACTGACATCTTGATTGTCTGATATCCACCTATCTTAGGCGAATGTCTAATGCTTTGAGGAAAGCCAAACTTTATTTACAATATACACAATACCTTTATGTCTCGATCACAAGCATTAAATAATTTGGAGTAATGGTCTAGACCCAATGTGGATTTTCTATCTGTACTAGCTACAAAAGTATTGTTAATGAATCTTCTGAAAATTGAGCTTTTCCCAACACCGTATTCGCCACATAATATTACTTTTTGTTCTGGAACTTTCACTGATGCCATTTGATGGCAAATTCGTTGATTATAATATATATAAAAAGATAAATTTGAATGTTTAATGGCAAATGTTTATTTACATTACAAAAATTATTTTGTTTGACGTTCATGTCAGTTGGTTTGACGGCCGTTACTGTCAAGGAGATGGATATATCTGTGATCCAGACCCTAACTCAAAGAGTCAAGTGTTTCCATCTCAGCAAATTAGTTTCTACAGGGGGCGAGAGCAATGATTGAGAATGTTGTATTCCATTTCTTTGCTTTCCAACAGGCTTGACGGTCCGCACGGGTATCATGTAAAAAACCTATAAAGCGTCAAAAAAAACCTATAATATGTCATCTTGCAGACTAGGTACGTTTAGGAGTGCCGTCAGTCCACGTTTGCTCACTAGGATCGTTTTGAGGGTCCATCTATGGATACGTATGCACGCATTTTTAGTTGCATATTGTTCGTGAAGCCGAGTGGTCTATATACCTTATTTCACTAGTATCCATCACGGCAGAATGTGTAATGTCTCAAAACACATAGTTCTGACGGATCCGTCAACGCCAGGTAGACAGAGTCGAATTTTGTTTTGGTTTTTTGTACGCCACAGATTCGTTTTGTAGTTTCTAACAGCTCTCTTATTTAGGAAAGTTCATTTGGATACAAAAAACAAAACGCCGCAAACAAGTTTTACTAGATTTATACCCGACCCATTATTGCCAACGTTGCAGACTAGCACAAAAATGTCACTTGCTGATCAGCTGTTCACCTCAGTAGACGTCAAAACCTGATCGATACTAATGAAATAGCGTATAGCTTTCATCTCTGAGAACTGAGAAGAAAGTTGGTTATCTGTTTGAATAACAAGATCGCATCTGGATGATTGTGTGTATTGGTCTGCATGTATATAAAATCAGTGATATTTGCTGTGTGAGAATTTATTGCTGAAGATGCTGACAATGAAGTATATCTATTAGCTGTGCCCGACAGGTTATTTATATGTTGTCTTTTCTGAAGACAGGTTATGTTCAAAGTTATAAATTACGATTTTTCTAGGTTTTTTGTGTTTTCAAAAACTCTCAGGAGAATTGCGGGAAATCACCACCCTGCGCGCGTTGTGTATAATTACTGTTAGCATGTATATGACTTGTAATTCAACAGTGTACAGTGAATATAATTATTTCTCATCTCATTTTTGAAATTCAGCAATCTTGCATATGTAATTTCCAGAACGGATAAGAAAAAGTGGAACTAATTTCTAGCTTTGAATCTCAAGTAGACATATTATTAGCACACAAATTCTCTCTATGCACCTCTGCATTCCCGTTACCTCCAGTAATGCCATTTCTGAAGCAGATTTTACATCACATCAGAACCAAATGTGTCCAAACATTGATAACTGAAGCCTCATGACGTTTAGGCAACACGTAAAACCACAAAACGAGTTTACGTGTCCATCAGCAAGTGCTAAGTTAGCATCTTGTAGAAAAACGTACAGAATATCACAGAAAACCAATATAATATCCAAAACATCGGCATAATGTCACTTTTCAAGTTACGTAAACCCGTGCCGGCCTTGGCAACGGTTTCTTACAACTGTGAATGATTTAAAGCAGTTAACCAAGTTCCAGGATTGACGTGCATACATGAGCGACGTTCTTTTGACGATTTGCTTGGTCGACTGAAAATGACATAGCGATTGTGAACTATTTGAAAATCATTTCTAGAACATGCCCATATTCTGGTTCACTTTCGATTCTTTTCACGTGATGACACGATGTCTGACGTGTTCGTTGTTCGTGACGTATAATTGAAATCGTCTGAATTTGACATATTCATATGATAAATTTTAAAAATCATGGACGATACTAAGGCTCAAAAATTAAAATTAGCCAATTCTCGGAAACGAGTAAGCTTTTTTGTATTCAATTTCAGCCAGTCATTGTCATAAATTCTCATGTCATCACCATTTTCCACGCAAAAGCATTGCATTGAAAATATGTTAGCCACATCATCCTCGAATATTCTAATTTTTTAATAATCTATTATTTCTAGTTCAAAGAACTGCAGGAACTGAAGAAAAAGAAAGATTCCAGTCAAAAAGGCGACGAAAGCTCCACTGAACATGTTGGCATTGTTGAAACTGCCACCAACAGCTTAACAAGCTCCACACATAGCTCAATAAACAATGAACATCCAACAGAAAATACAATCAGTACACCTAATAATGCCGCACAGCTTCCCAATTATTTTGGTGCGGACATACCACAACCAACCTCTGATTTCTTTGATTCGCTTGTACCCAGAGGCACCAGTGAAAATGCTGATTTTGAATTCTCAGACAAAAGTAAAATGCTCCAGTATTTTGATGTGCCTTCTCCACAAACACCCAGCAAATTTGAAGATATGGTTTCTAATATTGTAGAATCACCTAAGGGAAATGATAAAAGTGACTTCCAATATTCTTTATTTTCTCAAAATAACTTGCACAGTTATATCAGAGAAACACAAAATATAATTCATCCAAATGAAACAGGAGATACAGATGAAATAGATGATCCTGAGATTAAGCAAAATGAGATTTATGAGATACACAACAAAGATTCAGACTCAAATTCATTCCCCTCACCTGGTACTCAGAATCTTTTAAATTCATTGCAAGGTACTAATAGTCCTCCTATAACCGAGGGTGAAAAACATGCTATACAAGAAGAAATCAGCGATAATTCTAACCTGGCACAAGTGGAAATACAATGCTCTAAACAAGCAAATTTGGTGCAACTATCTAACCAAATGGCAGAGAGAATCGACACTGAATATACATCATCCAGTTCTATAACAGACTTAGAAAAACGTAACCTGGAATTGTCTGCCTTGTTAGAGCAAGAAAAAGCACTAGTTGATCAACAAAGGTTGCTAATCAATGAGTTGCAAAATAAATTGACTAAATCTGAAGTTGCAAAAGGTATGCAGGATGATAGTACCAATGTTCAAATGGTGCAGTTAAAAGAAGAACTACAGTACCATACCCAAACTGTTGCCATGTTAGTAACTGAGAAAACTGAGCTCATAGGGGCAGTTAATCAATTAGAGATGATGCTTAAGGGTAAGTAAGAAAATCAGTAATAATGCTAACAAATTTTGAACATAACTTTTTGTAAAGTCAAAATCACAAAAGATGACAATTACATCATCATTTTAGTCTATAGTAAAGACAAATGACAGCGATTTGTGAATATTTTTAATGAAGTTTCAGATATGTTAGACAGAAACAAACATAATTTTATTGTCTAAACAAACTGTATTGCTAATTTGCATGTATCCGACAAAGATAGATGATGTTTTCATGTTGCATGATCGATCATATTTGAAAGATCAATAGTTAGGTTATGTTAAAACAGGTTAGGTTGTTTTCGAATAATACTTTGGTCTTTGGTGTTCCTGTCTAAGGGTGTATTCTACTCATAACTGTTTTTTTCAAAACAAAAACTCACCACTAAAATTTTTATAAAGGTATCACTTAAAACCATGAAATAAAATGAAAATAAAAATAATAAGTGAAATAACTGAACTTTGCAAAATCACAATATAAATTCATTGTCATAATATATGTTCTTGACATCGTGATTTTATCATTGACATGATAGTCATCTTTCGTGATTTTGACTATATCTACAAATCATACAGGGAGTAAACGTTATGGTAGTCATAACTGAAATGGGTAATAGGGGGGGTCAAAACAAGTCAAAAAGTTCATATGACCCATGGTCCAAAAGTCAATAGATTTTTGTTTAAATGGCTTTATCGTTTACAACTTTAAGTGCTTTATATCGTCCACAATCTTACCAATTTTTATAATATAATCTAAAACGTTTTTTAATTGGGTAATTAATAAATAAGTGGCATTAAGTTTTTCTAAGTTAAGCCAAAATTTGTAGTCAGTAAGTAAGTTTCATTAGATTAAATATTTAAAACACACATGACAACAGTGCGTCGGTCTTTCATCACTCTTATCGAACCGGCAATCGATCGTAAACGGTAACAGTGGTTAGTTATCGTTTTCCATAGATATATTACTTTATCGTTTTGTCGAACAGAGAATCGGGCGTGTTGTTTTGTTTTTGTTCGCGTACGTCGTCGTGTGTATTTACAATGTTCTCGAATCAAGAGTTCGCCGACATGTTGTTAGTTTACGGTGAAGCTCGTCAGAATTCATATCTTGCAGCTCAGATTTATCGCGACAGATTTCGTCAAGGGGTACACCCAGACAGAAGGACATTTGTGCAAGTGTAGCAAAGACTTCGAGATACAGGAAGTGTTCAGCCCACTAATATTCGCACTCGTGAAAGACAGGTTACTGTAGAACAGGAGGAACAAATTTTAAATATCGTGGAAATCAATGCAGATATCAGCACTCGGGAATTAGACCGCCGCGTAGGACTATCGCATACCATAGTCCATAGAATCCTACGAGAAAATTTGCTTTATCAGTACATCGAGTGCAGGCCTTATTACCAGAATACTATCCTCGCAAACTAACATTCTGTCAGTGGTTTTTGCACAAAAAACATTGAAAATCCGGATTTTTTTAAAAACATTCTAGCGACGGACGAATGTTCTTTTACGCGAGACGGGATATTAAATTTCCATAATACATAATACTCACACGTGGGCCCAAGAAAATCCTCATATCATTCGTGAAGGTCATTTCCAACAACGTTCTAACATAATTATTTGAGTGGTATTCTTGACGATCAGGTAATTGGCCCTTTCGAGTTACCCCCAAAGTTGTCAGGAGAAGGATACCTTAGCTTTCTAGCCAGTAACCTACCAGAACTTTTGGAACAGACCTTAGACAACATGCCATTACAACGGAGACAGAATTTGTGGTTTCTTCATGACGGGGCACCACCACACATGATCCTCGAAAATGGCCAGCAAGATCTCCTTACCTCAATCCGATGGATTTCTGGTATTGGGGAGAACTTAAAGGGATGGTTTATGGGGCTGGTCCAATAACAACTGAAGCACAGCTTCGCGATAAAATTTTTAATGTGGCTGAAATAATCAATGGACAACCTCGAGGACCTAGAGTAAGAAGAAACTGGGTTCGTCGTAATGAAGCTTGTGTGGAAAGTGGAGGACGACATTTTGAGCATCTTCTTTATATACAAAAAAGTGCAGTGTGGGTTTTAAAAAGAAAATCAATGTATGTAACTTTCACACAATAGGTGAAGTGCTGAAACAGTTAGCGGTAAATCTGTTTTATTAATTTATTTACACTGCGTTCCGTCGTAATTTGCGTCAGGCATTGCGTCGTTGTCAGATTTTATTTTGCTTTAAAGTCACTTTTCACTAAAAAAATGCCGTTTTGACCCCCATGTTATATGAAACTTTTTCCTTCTTTTAATCCCCTCTAACACCCATTTAAATAATGACTATCATAACGTTTACACCCTGTATATCACCTCTACTTATATAGCATACTAAAAAATATACCTTAAAATTCAGGTTACCATTTATTTTTTACCTTTGTTCAACATATTCTAACTGAAAATAACCAACCAAGAAATTATCTGAAAGATACTAGCACCATCTATGAGATAGTATAACAAAAATTAATTCTAAAATCAGCTTTGAAAAAAGTGTGGTTCTGCTACTATGACATAGATAGAACTAGATCTGCAATGCGTTTTCCTCTAATGGCTATTTTAGTTGGGAATTTTCTTTGGTTGGAATATGTTGATCAATAAACGAAGCTACCTAATTAAAATATACATAACAAATGCCAAAAGAGCTTGAAGATCGTAGCACCATCTAAATACTCTCTTCTCAAAGTGTATATATATACATATATATATATATATATATATATATATATACAGGGTGACTTTGAAGTTGAGTCATTAATTTTCAGATAATGATTGTAGAAGGAAGATAAACCAAAGTATGTGTGTAAAAATAAAAAAAAATTAAAAAAAAATGTTACCTTGTTTTATAAAGTATCCTCCCGACAAGTATTTCAGTGCGGACCTGTGCGCCCAAAAGCATGTCACAAAAACTGTTCGAAATGATTTCCGTTTTGCTCGACGCACAGCTGGGCGCGTCTTAGCCATGTCTCTTTACAAGCACGCAATAAAATCACTGGTTGATTTCTGATCACTGTACTCATTTCCTCAATTCGAGCACGTAATTCTTCGCGTGTATTAACCGGTGTTTTATACACTAGAGTTTTTAGCCAACCCCACAAACAAAAGTCTAAAGGATTTAAGTCCGGAGACCTTGGCGGCCAAGGTACAAAACCGCCACGGCCGATCCAACGATTATTAAATTGTCTATTTAAAAATTCACGCACATTTCTTGCATAATGGGGTGGTGCCCCATCTTGTAAAAACCACATGTTTTCTCTAATATTTAAAGGCACATCTTCCAGTAAACCAGGCAAATTGTGTTGCAAGAAATCAAAATAATTTTCACCAGTTAAGCGATTTGGTAATTCAAAAGGCCCCACTAAAATTCCATTAACAATTCCCGCCCACAGATTGATTGGTTCAAATCGCTGTTGAAAATTGGTTTCCCTTATTTCATGGGGATTTTCAATAGCCCAAACGTGAGAATTACGTGAATTAATAATTCCGTTTCTAGTAAAGAGGGCTTCATCACTCACTAAAATTTGATTTAAAAAATTGTCATCATTTTGATGTTTATTTAAAAGCCAATTGCAAAAGTCAACCCTTTGTTCATGATCTTCCGGTTGTAAGGCCTGCACTTTTTGTATGTGAAACGGATAGAACTGATTTTCACGTAGAGTTTTCCAAGTTTTATACTGACTAATCGCCAATTGAGTTGAAATTTGTCGGGTGCTTACTGTTGGATCATCACTTACTAATTCTAAAATTTGTTCTTCTAGTTCTATTTGATCGTGTGGTCTTGGAGCACCGGCATGATCTCCTCTGTGAGGTCTTAAGTCACCTGATTCACGAGCTCTTTGCACTACATTAACAAAGGCACGAGGGGTTGGTTGCACTCGATTGGGAAACCGATAGATCCGTGATGCCGCGGCAGCATTTTGTAAAGACTCCCCGTAAATAAGAACCATGTCCACAAGTTCAGCATTTTCGTAAACATGTGCCATTTTTGATTTGAGCCTCGCAACAGACACGATTATTCACTTACGCGTTACCGACTACCGACTGATACTGACTGTATACAACTGAAGAAAATAATTGTAAAAAGATCGTTCCAAATTCTTTCGCTTTTTTGTTTCCGATGCGATGAACGGATAAGGCGGATTATATCTGTTGTTGCCAAACACGAGAACATAATATCATTATTGAGACAGGGCGGTACTCAAACTTCCAAAGGGCTATAACTTTGTTACTTTAATTTTACCAGAAAAATGGTAAAGGAAAAAAACATTTCTTTTGATCAGATCTACTCACTGTTAAAATAAATGACTCAACTTCGAAGTCACCCTGTATATATATATATATATATATATGTTTTTCTTAGGAAAAACTGCTGATTGTGAGGAGTTACAAGCAAGGCTTAAGACATCTAGATCAAGGGTGGCAGATTTAGAGAGAGAAGTGAATGTACTGAAGTCAGAAAGGCATCAGTTTGAACAAATGGATAATGAAATCATTCAACATTCCAATATTTTAAAAAAAGAAAATGAAGCTGTGAAAGAGCAAAAAGAAGAAATTCTTCAGGACTTGCTAGAGGTAAAATATAAAATTTGGTTCCTAATTCAGTCCAAAAGAATTTTGTTATCATTAATCTATCATTATTTAAATTCAGAATCAGCCTATCCTTATTAGGAAACCCTTATGATTTTTTAATCTCAGAAGGTTTTTCTCAAATATTCCATCTTAATCCAGGTAAAAGAGAAACTAAAAAAAGTATCGGAGGAAAATGCCCATCTACTTCAACAAAATCAAGACTTGTCTAACAAATTATCCTTGGCCAACATAAAAATTCAGCAGATCACAAGTGGTCAACCAATGCAAAATGATGGTCTAATAGAAAGTCTGATGAGGGAAAAAGCTGAGCTAGAAAGGCAGGTTGCACAGCTAAATAATGTACTAAAGACACTGACTAAAGAAAGAGATGAGTCCAGCATGCAGTATCAGCAGTATGTCCAACAGCTCAATGTTCAAGTTTCCAATTTGACAAATCAGATAGAGCAGTTGCAACAGGTATACTAATTTAAACAAATCTGAAGCATAATTAATTACAGAATGTAAAAGAGCTGCCATGTAGGATCATTCCACATTCTCCTTATTATTTAAAAATATATTTATTAGTTTATTCTATTTACATTTCAGAATCAAAGTCAATACTATTTTTTGTTGGAACGTTGTGTGATTTTATCTTAAAAAATTGGTAATAGTTAGTTAGTTACGCTAAAAGTATATGTAAATTACATTCATAAGATTTTCAAAACATGGGCCAGGATTTCCTCATTTATAAGTTTCTTGAAATGGCTTCAGTTCGTATAAAAGGCATGAACAAAATTTCACGAAATACTCTTTTATTAGAAAAAACTTACATTTGAGAATCCTTAATCTTGAAAAACTGTTGAAAACAATTAGTTACCTCAAATTCAGATATCTACCCTTCTTGGACCCCTTGTCATAGATGGTCAAAGTTGTTTTTTTTATTTATATGTGGTTTTTACTGCTAAAACCGTTTTTGAAAAGCAAGGAAATCATTTTTTTTAAATCGTCAATTTTGAAAAAAGTCTTGTAATAATCAGAAAGATGACTTATTGTTTAGAAATACTTTTTGTTGATTAATAATTTAGTTTCAACATTTATTTGCAGGCAAACGAGAATTTGATAATTCAGGAACAAAATAGGGTCAAACATATTGGTGAACTGGAAAGACAACTGCAGAGCTTGCAAAATGAAAGGGTTGCCTTTGCTGGTAGCAGTTTGCATGCAGATTCTGATCTTAAAACCGAATTGGAAAAATTACATGAACGTTGCTCACAGTTGCAGGTACAAAATGAAGTGATACATTTCTTCTAATCCTCTCAGTTTGTACAAATCTCAGATAAAATCCAGTATGGAATACTGATTACATTTCTGGGAACCTGCTTAGAAATCCTGTTCATGTTATTTAACATAGTGAAAACCAATATTCTTTTAGTTACATAGTTTTAAATTAACATTTTTTCAGTTGGAAAAAATATCAGCAGAGGAGAACTGTACCAAGGCATGCAATGAAAGAGATATGTTGACTAAAGAATTGATGGCGAAATATGATTCTATTAGTCAGTTGGAGAATGAAGTTGAAAGATTACGTGGAAACCAACCTGATAGCGCGAAGTTATTGGCAACAATGGAAAGTGATAAAGTGAGTGTCATGCATCATTAATTTCCCCATAATACCTTTTTTCTTCAGTAAACCTATGAATGTAATGCGGTTTTTGATCAAAGTAAATGTTCTTTAGGCAAAGTGTGTAAAGTGTCCTCTGGCTGAAATGTGTTTTTGAGGATAGAGTATTATTATTCTCGAAATAAAATTGTGTCATTACATTACTAATATACCTTGAACAATTTGAATGGTATGCTTTATTAACTTTTCTCTTTGAAAATACATTAAATAGAAAACACCTTGTTAAAATTACTATTACTGTATTCTGCCGGAAAATGACTAATCTAGTACTATATTTCCGCGTGATAAAAATTATCCGAAATAATAATATTTATTCACATCAATTAGAAAATGTGAAAAAATTGTTATACCACAAAAGGAAATATACTTATGCGCGGATATCGTTCTAACACATAATACAACATATAACACAGAAATGAAATGTTATATCACAGCGTCATCTATGAGAATTTGTCATAGCTATGTGTCTCCCTCATAATTGGAAATCTACTTTAAACAGGTTAGTGTCTCATAGATGGTGCTGTAGCAAATTCTATTCTTATATAGCATGTATTAGGGTATACTTTTTCTTCGGACCATATAAAAAAATAAAGTTGATGATGGCTTTTCAAAAATAAACTGCCGGGCACAAAATTTAAAAACACCATCATGTAGTGCCTAAAAAGTATCAGTGGAAAAGTTTAATTAGTTTTTTGATATTTCTGTCCTGAAATTTTTACAAGTTTCTTAATGGATGTGTGGTTACCAAGTTTTTTAGCTGTTCCGGTATTCACTATCAATAAATTTTTATTTAGGCAAATTCTATGATGAGTTCGCGGATAAAACCATGCCTATATCCTTCATCTAGTATAAATTAGTAAGTTTAAACATTATGTCTCTTCGAATTGTGGTTCGGATAAAAATATATCACCAAAGTAACTGTTAGATAACTCGGAATATTGCATTTCTTTGTAGAAAACTAATCTCCTTCAAACCAATGCAAGACATATGACCTATACTTTACACTACTTCAGCGCTAGCGGAGCTGCGGGTTTAGGCTAGATTTTCATAAATTACAAACTTCATATAATAAAGATTATTATACATTCAGAGAATAAGACTTTTGCATTTGGTTTTAGATTTTTGCTACTGAGCTTTAATATAATTCATTACATAATGTAATATAATTAATCTATTATTTTTCCAAAGCCACAAGACATTTTTTCGAAAATATTGCTACATTATTTATTTTGGATATGAATATATTTACAGGTTGCTGCAGCCAGAGCCATAAAACAGAACAGTGAATTGAAAGAACAAGTAGAAGGCATGAAAGAAGTCCTTGCAAAACTGGTTAGTGGTATTAGAATAATAAGATTTATTATTGTCATACAACAAAATTATTTCAAAATTTTGACTTCAAACATCTGAAATACTACTATACAGGGTGTTTCAGTTTATTGTTGCATAACTTTAAGATTCGCTAGAACTTTTAAAATTAATGCATAAAGTCTATATAAACATGGGTCGAAAAATGCATGGCTTCCGAAATCCAGGGTGTTTAAATTTACTTTCTAAAATAGTGTTTTTTAAATATTTCGAACAATATTTGATGTATAACAGTGAAAATTGGTATACAAGGGTTTTTTGGTACGACAAAACGAACCATGGGCATAGTTTTACTGTAGCTGCTAGAGGGCGCTGTCTACTGTACCTGTAGTGTATTAAAATGACCGACAAATTTTTCTTAGTGCAATTTTTTGCTTTTTGAATAAAAAAACTGATTCTTCGCACTTTTCAACATAAAAAAGCTCTCTTGTGAATTTTCGTTATAGTTAGCCGTTTTTGAGATATTTCGATTTTTAAGGTTCGATGCTTTTTTAATTATTTATGATAAAATAACGTTAAAAAGTCAGTATCTCGATAATTTTTAGAAGTAGGCTGTGCCTGCAAATATTTTTGAAATTGAAAGCAGAATAAGGTTAAACGTCAATTACTTGACAGTCAGTTGAAGAAGCAGCCAGAGAATACGCACGAAGATTTCCAAACAGACGACATCCAACTCGCTCAGTATTTGTAAGAGTGCATCGCCAAATAATTGAAAATGGTTTTGGAAATCTCCAAAGGGATCAAAACATAAATGTTCGTCAGCGCAGATTTACCCGTATGATTCTGCGTGAGTTTGATAGAGATCCGACCACAAGTGTTAGGAGAGTTTCTGGTGCCTTGGGAATTTCAGCAAGCCATGTTCCCCGTGTTCTTAGAAATGACCATAGACGTCCTTACCATTTGCAACCTGTGCAGCCAGGGGACGGAGAACGAAGAATCACATTTTGTCAGTGGATTCTTGATAGAACTGATAATAATAGGGAGTTTTTAAGTAACGTTTTATGGACCAATGAGTCATGCTTCACTAGACGTGGAGTGGTAAATTTTCATAATCAACATATTTGGTCGCATGAAAATCCGCATGCAGTAACAGGAAAGAAATTTTCAGCATGAATTTAGTGTGAACGTGTGGATTGGTATCTACCGTAATCGACTATTTGGACCCTACCTTTTGCCTGCAAGGTTAAATGCTGCGACCTTCTTGGAATTTTTAAAGGCTGAACATGCAAATATGCGGGATGATGTTATGTTAGATTTAAGAAGATTGGCCTGGTTCCAGCTTGATGGTTGTCCAGCTCATTATTCGAGAATAGTTAGAAACTGGCTGGACGAAAATTATCCAGAAAGATGGATCGGCCGTGGAGGACTAGTCGCCTGGTTTCCACGATCCCCTGACCTAAATCCATTAGATTTCTTTGTGTGGGGATTTCTAAAAGAAAAAGTGTACCAGACTCCCGTAACCACAAGAGATATGCTAATAGACAGAATCAGGAATGAATGTGATGGAATAAGGCCTTATTTGAATAATGCTATACCACGTTCGATCATTCGTAGATGTGAATTGTGTATTGAACAATTGGGTTTACATTTCGAGCAACTACTTTAGATTTTGTATGTTTGTCCTAACTATCCAATAGCATTTTAGTTGTAAATAATTAATTTAATTTTTTAAAAATAATATTGGAAAATTAAACAAATTAATATTCTGTTTTTCTTTTGTGTTTATTTGGAGTTAGGAATTATTGCTGTATTTAAAAACACAATCTAAACGATCATCTTAATTACTTGTAATGCCCAAATCGAAAATGTAAAAAAAATATTATTTTCCCATAAATAATTAAAAATGCATCGAACCTTAAAAATCGAAATATCTCAAAAACGGCTAACTATAACGAAAACTCACAGGAGAGCTTTTTTATGCAGAAAAGTGCGAAGAATCAGTTTTTTTGTTCAAAAAGCAAATAATCGCACTAAGAAAAAATTTTCGGTCATTTTAGTACACTACAGGTACAGTAGAGAGCGCCCTCTAGCGGCTACAGTAAAACTATTCTCATGGCTCGTTTTGTCGTACCAAAAAAACCTTTGTATACCAATTGTCACTGTTATACATCAAATATTGTACGAAATATTAAAAAAAAACTATTTTAAAAAGTAAATTTAAACACCCTGTATTTCGGAAGCCACGCATTTTTCGACCGATGTTTATATAGACTTTATGCATTAATTTCAAAAGTTCTATCGAATCTTAAAGTTATGCAACAATAAACTGAAACACCCTGTAGAACCTAAATTTATTATTAGATCGTTACTTTTGCATTAAATAGCATTCTGTTTTTGAAATAATATTTACTCAAATAGTGAATAAAACTGAACAAATTCAATTTGATGCTTATAGGATGCTGATAAGGTTGAACTGACGGAAAAACTGAACAAGGAAATGAGCAGCAACAAGCAGCTCTTGGATAAACTGCAGAAGACAGAGTTACTTTTACAGACGTTGACAGACGCGATAGAAATCAAGGACAGGGAATTGGCACAACATATAAGAGAAAGTTTTGAACAGCTAAGCAAGCAAGTATTGCAACAACTACAGTTAACGGATAGGTGAGTGACCAGAACACAAAATTGGTTTCTTAGAAAATATGAAAAGAATATTTCATTAACTTTATGAGGATCAGGTAAATCTTCTAGTAAATTTTCATTTTAAAACAACAAAATGACCTTTTTGTTGTAGGCTAAGGCATTATGAAGCTCAGGACTGTTCATCACACGTATTGCAAAATGATCTACAAGAAGCAAAACAGACAATAATTAAGTTAACAAACGAGTTGAATACACTAAAAAATAAGAATATAGCTGAAGTTACTGCAGCTAATACTATTGAGGTGAGATATATCATTCTCAATGACATAGCAAACATAGTCAGATGTATTTTTTTGAATATAATTTTATCTATTCTTAGCGATAAAAGTAATTGTTAATCAGCTTTGTGGTGTAGGTACCTAACATTCAACTCACACATATTTTGTTTTTGTTATGTTGTTGCTGCTAATAAATCCTTTTTGAGGGACATTATAACATTGTTCAAAGAAGAATCTGATACGTCTTTTTAGATTTGCCTGTAAGGTTCTAGTCTAGATAAATACCTCGAAAACTGGCTTGAAGAATGCTTTCTCAATATACATACTCAATTCTACTAACCTTAGACAATAATTCAAAACCGTATTTTTAACCTGGCTTCAAAATGATTGTTTCAGCCTAAAGTAGCTACTGAAGACGCTGATATTTCAACTTTAAAAGAAAAACTAACGAAACTCGAACATCGCAACGAAGAATTAGAGCTGATGCTAAGAAATAGCAACAATATTAACGAAGGCCATAGACAAAATGATTACCCTGAAAATATTATAAAAACAGACGATAATTGCAACCATAACGATGACGTCTTGGATAAGGAAGTAGCAATGAAATATTTGGAAGACAAGCTGAAACGCACCATGGACAGTATCGCAAACCTTACAGATGAAAAACAGAGGCTTGAGCATCTAGTGTTGCAATTACAGGGTGAAACAGAAACTATCGGTATGTAATTTTCTTACTTATTTTGCAATATACAGGGTAATTCAGAAAATAATGCAAAAACTTCTAGAGTAGAAAGTACATCCAAAAAAAAAGCGGCAACAGTAAGTGATCCGGCCATAGATGACGCTTTGCGTTCTCTTATTTAGATAGATCTCATGCCTTGGATAGAGGATAGTTGCTATGCTTTCGTTCAATGTCCCAGAGACCAAGCCTAGATCATGTTGAATAGTTGCCAAAAAAGCAGGAAACATCTATCCAGGGTTGGCTGCCTTGGGTCGTACAGACGAAATCAGTATATTTAAAAAAAAAGTCCGTATAAATGCATGCGCCGTTATCAATATAAATGATATTTTAAATTTATACGCCACTGATAATACTGAATAGAAATAAAACATAAAATACTACCTAAAGTTTTTAATGTCATACTTCACCAACGTGAGCGTATTTTTACAGCAGAATGGCTTGAAGTTTCTTATACTGATTTTACTTCAAATATTAAAACCATCTTTTTCTCAAAAAATTTCTCAAGACAGGCGATTCATGTGAAATTGGATATCATTTTCAAAAATGCAATAGATGTAGAAACTAATTTTGTTTTTCCTTCCGATGCATATTATATTTTCTGTCTGACCACTAATCCTTGACCACTCTATAACTTCGAAAGTAGCAGTAGGATTTTAATGAAATTTTGAAACAAGGTTACTACTATGCCAGGGACGAAAAAGCCTGAAAATCTGTACATTGGCAGCGTAGCTACGGGAATAAACACGAAAGGAATAAAAAAGCGGGTAAACTTCGTTTTTTGACGTTTCAGAGGCTCCTGATCATTTTCAGAAAACTTGAGAAAATGTCAGGGAAATGTTTTCGTTACGCGTTCTGCTTCAGCTCTCTGTGTTCACCTGCGGACATGCCGGGCTGGTTGACTGTTCTGCCAGTATTGCAGCGCTGTCACGGTGGGCGCTGCCGTGTATGACGCATCTTGCGATTAGGTATGGTACAGGGCAACGTCGCCTGATGGGCGGTACTACTGGTAGGACAGGGAAATAATGTTCACGGAGTAATTGCATGGGTCTGTTTGACAGACTTGATCCGTTTAATTTACTTGTTGTACATGTTCGTAACAAACTTTTTTCTCAGAGGGTTCAACTTGCGCTGAACTTAATCTTTTTTAAACTGTTCATGGCGTTGTGTAGGAAGTGCAGTCAACTTGACGCCACTTTTTTTTGTGTGGGGTCAAAATTTCTCGATTTCAACATCATTGGTGGTACGAACATTTTTGTATTAGCTTTCAGTATTACATGTACAAAATTGTAGGTCGATATTTTAATTTTGGGACCCGTGTATGGGTGATTTACTTCAACTTTATGCCGTAGAAATCTTGTTACTGTTTTCTGTATCATCCTGTATAATAATAAGTTTTATGTAACATAATCGGTTTGTTCGTACAGAGGTACCGGTGACTTAACGTTGACTGTGCCTGGGATCCGGCCGTGTCAATTTCGTCTATAAAGCGTAGCGAACTGAGCGAGATTTGTGTCGCGGAATCTTGGACATGGTCACTGACAGGTTCGCGACTGCCATACAAACATGACTAATATTAATTAACTGCCAGACAGATTATTAATATTGTATCATTGAATATAGGTGAATACGTAGCCTTATATCAACATCAAAGGATGATGTTGAAGCAACGCGCATTAGAAAAGGATCATCAGTTGAAACAACTGGCTTCTGATAGGGAACAGATGAAACTCAAATTAGAAAAACTGAACGAGTTGATTAGAAAACTACTGGAAGGCAAAGGTAAGAAATTTGAAATTTGGAAAAATACATATGAACACTGCTTATTTTGAAATGGAAAAACTATGGTTTGTAGATTTAGAAACTTGTTATTTTTACCCGACTGGCTAATGTTTGTCGCATGTGGGTACGTATCTATGTATCCAAAATATTCAAATGCTACATGCTGCCAGTAAATTACAAGTTAAAAGTACAATCAGTCCTAAATATGGTCAAATAATATTATCGTCCACATATCACCGACTGTACAAAGAAACGTCATCTTGAAATTATCAGTTTACGTTTACAAGTACAAATTGTTAAAATGATATTTCATAAATATGTTAGTTTGTAAGAGTGTAATGAAGCATGCAAATGTTTTAATCAGTGGATTTAGCAACAATTTCACAAAAACATGCATTGTATAGCAAAATCTTAGAAAAATAAGACTGGAGGTAAGGTAACAAGTAACAACTTTCCGGAAAATTAAGTGGATATGTGTCAGAGTGCTTTTTGCACGAATTTGGAACGACTTCCTCGTCGTCCAATCTTTAAATATGATACTCTTGAAATGTGAACCATCATATAATCAGGATTTTCCCGAGAAAGTGCTCGTATAGTTCGAATAATATAAGGAAGACAAACCAATCAAAAATGAGAAGATAAATTAGCAGAGTTGAAAAGGTAAAGACAAATCAGCAAATAGAATACTATAACAAAATTATCATTTGAAATTAATATATTCTATTTTAATAAAAGAAATTGTGGAGAATTACAATGCTTTTATTGAGTCAGCTAAAACGTATTGAATCCTGCGTAGTCTTTGCTGAATTTGTGCATTTGTTGTGATGATGTTTATCTTGAGTGGTATCTTAAAACCTTATGTTAGCATTCATTTAACTTAAATTCTATACTAACCCTATACAAAAAAAAAAATCAGCGCCTTTCAAATATAATTGTTCCCTTGTTGTTCTTTCCTACCAAACTAGAATTACTTGTAGCAAATGTATCTGAAATAACAAGAAACATACTATTGCTTGTACTTCTATGGAACATAAACATCTATACTATAACTATCTAAAACTGTAATGACTCATCGATGTTCACGTGAACATCACTTAACTACCAGTAGTCGGCTGTTCATAGGCGGGGTATGAATGTTTAACATGGATGAACTAGATTTGTCACATGCTTAATAAAGAGTGGTTTGAAACATATTGTAAGTCAAAAATTTGGGAATTACCTTTATTCATCGTCGCTTCCACTTACATCTGACAGTAATAAACTGTCGCTATCGCTTTCCTCGTTGAAATTGACTATAACTGGCTCTATGATGGTGTCGATGTGGTGGTCAAGCTGCCACATTTTTGTTTCTTCCTTCACAACATGACGGACAGCATTCTGCCAAGCTTCGGGCGTTACTAGCTGTATGGAAGTCTCAAGTAAAACCTTAACGTCTGGTAATTTGAAGGTTGTGTTATGGCGCGCAATATAACCCTTCAGTTGAGCCCAGATGAGCTCTATTGGGTTTAGTTCACAGTGGTATGGCGGTAACCGCAGCACAGTGACACCACATTGACGGGCCATCTCATCAGTCACGTAACTTATGTTCGCAGGTTTGTGCTGTTTAATTTTTTCATACAATTACGCTTTCACACATGAATCGTCAAACGGGATTCCTTTTTCGCGCAACCATTGCAGCATGTCACTTTTTCGAGATCCCATAGTCGGTACACGTTCGGCTCGACGACTATGGTAGGAAGCATTATCCATGACGATCACAGAGTTGGGCTCAACTCGCTGAAGCACCCCTTGAAACCAGCTCTCGAAGCAGCTGGCATTCATTTCGTCATGGGAATCAGCTCCTTTCTTAGAGACGAAAATCAAGTCACACTCTTCTAAAAGGCCACTATCGCTACCAATATGAGTGACGATCAATCTTTGACCTTTCCCTGACGGTCCACGAAGACCTGTTGACAAACCTTCAATGCTTGCTTGTCGGTTACTCACTACGTCTTTGTCTATCCAGGTTTTTTTAACTGTGTGACCTGCATTTACCCATGTCTCGTCCGAATAATAGATTTTTCTGCTTTGTCGCCTATATTCAATCATTTCGTGTAGGTATTTTCGACGCCAGGCGACTATTTCAGGTCTCTCTATCAATACTGACTTCCGATTACGCGTTTCGTAACGAAAATTAATTTCGTGCAGGGATTTCCTCATTACCTCGACGCTCATTTGGGGTATAATTTCATTTTCCTTGATCGCTGCATGTACAGCCTTGAGGGTTGGTATCTCATTCCTAAAGAAGAATGAATGTACGGTTCGCCTTAACGCCATTTTGCTATCGTCATCCAATTTAACGGCCTTTCGTCCCTTCAAATTAAACTTTGGTTCAGTAGTAGCTCCAGTTTTCTTCTTTTCATGCACCACTCTGCGAATGGTCCACTCTGGAACGCCTGTCATACTTTCACAACGCGCGGGTGCATCTCCCTGCGACATAGTTCTGTTCAGATAATTGAACACGTTGAGCACGATTTCTTTCGCATCCCTCTTCAGTGCTTTACGAAGCCGTCTACTTGTTCCCTGGCTTTCAGTACTTCCACTCGTGCCATTTGTACTCTCCATGCTTAAGTATAACCAAAACAGTAACCACAGAAACCACAACAATAACAATCACACAACAATTCTTATAAAAACACACAATATGCGATCGCTCAACGAAACACGTTCCAATGCGTTGCCGACGCCTATGAGTCTGCCGGTCGAGGCGCGTCTTTGATTTCTTGGTTCTACCGGCGGAGAACAATCAGCCATTATTTCCATCTCTGTCTGTGGTGTTGACCACCGCAAAGCCACAGAAACGACATATGTCGTACGCTATACGGCTGTACTGGAAGGAAGCCGGGATCGAGCTCTGATCACGTGTTGATCACGCGTATGAGTCATTACAGTTTTAAATATTTGTAGTATAGTTTGCGAACATGGTCGTAAAATGGAGTAGTACAAGTAAATCGTATTTGAATCTTTCATGGAATACAATACCTCATTATTGAATGTTACAAGTAAAATCACTTGTAATTATTACACCATACTTTTTAAGGAATATGGCACTGGTTGTTTAATAAATCTCGCCCATAATTTACCTCAAGTTACTGAGGCCTACTTATAAACACGAATAAGCCTGGTCAGTGTGTGGCGTATGATAGCAGTAGTGTCAAGGTTCAAAGTAATTATTAATCTTTTGTTACAAAAGTCGCTGATATGCTTTGTTTTACTTATGCTTATTCCGGAAATTTGTGGATAACGTGGAACTGTTTACATTCGAGAATCATGTGGCGCAGTTAGTTTAACGTTTTTTTATTTAATTATTTATCCAGATTATTTATAAACAGATTTGAAGATATGTTTTGCAGCGAGAGTTGGGAGTTCCAGTATAGATGAATGCATATTTCATACAATTCTTGGTAAACATTGACAAACATTTTTGTTGCTTTTCACAACAGCCATAATAAACGAATATACATTTTCGTTATTTCGATTTTGCGCAGTAGGGCTATAATTCTGCATACTCCGTTATCGATATAAGAAAGCTCCGAGAATAGGGGCGGCTGAGGAGGGCTTATGTCTTTATTCAGCGCTGCCGCCGGAATTCGTAAAGCTGAGTAAGCTTGAAATAATTTCAAGTTATATTAAGCAAGACGACTCTAAAACGATATTGGTCGTTTTTCATCCCGTGGAAACAGTGAGCTTACGCGTATTGAGCGTATCAAAACTCGGACCTACTACATCTAACAACCATCTCGTCCAGTAAAAGCGTGTTTTTCTAATCCGCTATATTATATGCCTTACACATCCTGCGCAAAACACGATCGGTAATAGGGAGTTTTCGCATAACGCGACGCGACGTAGCATGAGAAATAACGTGGACATAACCTTAAAGTGACCTTAAAGCTGTACCCTACAACGCTACAACCTCAATACTTTGTCTGTAAACTTTGACGAAATGGATGTACAAGAACTTCCTGATTTGGCCGCTATAGGGGCATTGAACAACGAGGAGTTGGAGGCTGGGATTTTGCACAGCATTCTCAACAGACAAGTTCCCCGTTCGCTTGACTTCTGTCGCAATACACATAATATAAACTTTATTTAGAATTATTATTTAGAAAAATCACCCATTAACGGCACCTAACCTCAAATCATAAAGATCATATACCGCCTCGCGCTAAGTGTTCACAAATTACGCTAGGCGGTAACGTAATTAGTGCCCGCTATCATGAAACCCACAACTGAGCATGCGTATCTGTCAAAATAACGTGCCTAGAAAACACAGCAGCACGTTAAGTGGCATGCGAAAACTCCCTATTATGTAATCCATCGTATCGCAATCTTACTTGGACTTGAACTCACTGCGTCAAGAGTTACAGCACAGACAAGCGAATGGTGAGCAGGATATCACTATAAAATACGTCGGTGGTTCGCCTAGTGTTATTTCAGCTTGCAGTGTTAATACCGATTCATTAAAAAACGGTTGGAGTATTCATTAGAATGGACCGTTTGTTACACTAACATCTAGTCTGATTGTTCCAAGCTTCTTGAACTTATCGCCTTCGCTGACGAAAACTCTGGCTGCATCAAGATATTAGCGATTTACCGATAAATGTTCTAGGTTATAATATTTTTCGAATGGATTTCACCCTAACACCAGGATATTGCGGTGTATGCATCTGTGTAGGATGAACATTTTCAAGTTTGTCAGTTAGTGAGTTCTCCACACACCTTCATGGCGTTGACAACTTATTCCTCAAAATAGAGAATGCTACATTCAAGTTAATCGTGGGCTGCATCTACAGACCGCGTCCATCTGTTGCTGACTCAGACTTGTGCAGTTACATCGCAGATCTCACCACACGAACAAATAACTTGTATACGTATATAACCAGTGATTTTAATCTCCGCGACGTTTCCTAGTTTTTGTCAAGCATACAAACCACAAATTCTACATCTGCCCCTTTTTTATACCTCTTTCGTAACAAGCATTATTCAGCTCATAGATTGTTCTCACTCTACAGAAATCATCAGATACAAAGAACCCTTGACCTCAGATTTGTTAATGATGCTGATTTTGTGTCAGCTATTGAATACTTCCCTGCGTTTGGTAAATCAGGTCACACTATAGAGTCCACATCTTCGTTCACTTCTCATTCACTACCTCAAAGCAACAGTGACGCCAAGTAGCGAGAAAGGTGAAAAGCTCAAGTTTGCTACCGAAGATAATATCTTACCAGCCAATCAACATGATTTTTCCCATGTCACTCTATCACAAGCCTGCTCAAATATGTCAACGATTGGACTAATATGATAGATATCAACATGCTTGGATTTTTCAAGAGCGTTCGGTCCAGTACCACACGCACACCTTCTCTACAAGGTGAAACACTTAGGAAAACTGGAGACCCGTTGAAGTGGTTAAGGGCTTTCCTTAGTAACAGAGAGTTCCCGGTGAGGGTAGGCGGTGACTAGCGGCGTTCCTCAGGGTTTCGTCTTCAGACCTTTGCTGTTTCCCCTATACAAATCGGACCTGCCTTGTGTCATATCTTCCAATTGCTTCTCGTATCGAAAGATCAATTACATCATCGGGAACCAGGAAATCTCCTCTGTCTCCAGTCACATAGATTCATGACTTGTTCTATCGGATAGTCTATCATGGTCCAAGCATACGAATAAAATCAACAACTAAGGCTAAAAGGACGCTGTACCTTATTGGAAGATCCTTTAAAGGCTGTGAAAATTCTGCTGCTGTGCTCATGTGTACGTCATATGTCAGGCCTATTATGGAATTATCTGGATCTGTTTGGTATCCAACGCTACAACGTGACCGAGACATGTTGGAAAATATGCGGTACCCAACGACCTTATTACGAGGAGAGTCTGAACCTAATCGACTTAACTCACTTCTCGGATAGATGCTCACATCCTCACTTTTCCGTCTGATCGCCAACCACCTGCGAGACCACAACTATAAACTAATGAAATAAAAGTTTGGAACTACACCTCGGCAAATTTTCCTGTTTAATGAGTAAATATTTGATTCCTGGAACAGGCTGCCCTACGAACGAATGCGTCCACAGTTAACGGGTTTAAGAGTCGTTTCGTCATTGGGTGCACGACGAACTCTAGTTTGCTTATGACATAATCTTTATCTTTTTATATTTTTTCTATGTTTGATTTCTTATCTCTGTTTGGAGTTTATAGCTTGCTCGACTCCTCTGTTGTGAGTAATAATAAATAAATAAAACAGTTCTGGATATTTTCTATATTCTCGGGTATTATATAATCTCTCCTCATTTCAGGTGGCGTTTCCAAAGAAATTCTAGATCAACATGGGCATCTAACCGCCGAAGATTGTTACATCGACACGGAAACTCATACACACAATGATAATGAAAGAAAAGTCCCTGAAGCAAACGTAGGAAATTCAGAAACTGCAAACGAAATCATAGAGTTAATCTCAGAAATCAAGAGTAGCAATTTGGTTCAGCCTTGTGATAGCATAAACTGCTCTTGGTGTTCAGGGCAATTGATCACAGTATAAATAAATTATTAGCGCAAAAAAAAATTAATCAAATTGTGATTTTTGTAGATGTACAGGGACTCAAGGTTTTGATAATCCAATTTTCGATGTGCAAAAACAAGGAACCTACAAAATCTATGATAATGTGCCTTTGGGCACTAATCTTTTACATTGCCTGTTAATCACCTATGAATATTGCTATAAAACTTGTTGAACCATTTTCCACATTGTTTAATTCAAAAGACCTTACTGCGTCATTAATAAATAATTCTCTTTTGAATTCCAAGTATTTAGCTAATTTCATATTATCTTTATGGGTGAGGTGATGCTGGTGTAGTGATCATTTTAACCTTTTTTCATACTGATGCATGTTAAGATATTTTTTTAATGTTCAGGATTTGTATGTAGGTACAGCTAATTTGAAAATCTCATCTCTTCTCGGCGCCATCTCTTCCTATATTGCTTCACTTGAAGATGTCTTATTTGGGATTTGGGAATATTTACCTTGCAAGGAACAAGTATGGATTCGCCCTTAGGGGTATATATCTCAGTTCAAAAAAGCGCTAGGGGGAGTTCAGGATTCATGCCCGTCTCGAGGGGGTATCGGCGATTGAAGAGCGTGGGGAGGGTTGTTTCCATATTGAAAAATACGTTCGACTCATTCCTAAACTCTGATATTTCGGGTGTCTGGACCCCCAGAACGCCCCCTGGATCCGCCACTGATGTCAAATACATTGTATAACATCTCTGTACACAGTTTGTGGTGTTTTTGAATGAAATTAATACATATCACCATATCAGTTCACCATGCTTCGTGTACTTTATTCATTTTGATTTTAATAGTGATTTTTGGTGACCCTTTGACCTCTGACCACTACATAGCCATAGCATAGTGATTAGCAATATGAAATTGCATTTTTTGTTAGTGTTTTTGGTTAGTTCAAGGCTAGAAATATGATTTGTTGTACAGAAGCAAATCTGTTTATAGCAACTTTTTGAATTCATATTGGTGAAGAAGAATAAAATGTATAGTTCTCATCGAGGTTACGAGGTGCATGCTATTATTAATCTACGAATCCTCCTATGTTTATATAAAATTTTCGTTATCGATTATTTTTTAAATTGCTGATTTTTACTATTTTTGTTTTTTCTTTATTATGTATGAGTCTGAATAAATTTATACAGAATTTTCGGTTCAGTTTTGCAATTTATTTGTAACCAACCTATGAAACTTAGCATTATACCGACCATTTTTTTAGTTAGAAGTGAAAAGCAGAAATCTGGAGGTTCCGTCTGGCAGGGCTAAAACACGCCACCGTCATGGAAGAATCTTCGACGTGTATTGTTCGAAAAAAAAATCGTAGAATTATTTCTGTTGCTTTGTTTCTGACCACAATTTTTGGACATTTTTTCTTCATTAGTTTAAAGAGAACAAAATAAAGAAGCAAAAAAGAAAAAATATGTACAGGGTGGCCGCTATGTAACTGACTGGTTTGTTTCTTGAATATTTGTGAAATGAAATAAAATGCGTCCATTTTTTTTTCATCTGAATATTTTATTGAAACTTAGAAATTACGTATAAAAAATAATATCAGACAAATGACCGCCTTTAGAAGCCGCGCAAACCTGAGCCCTCTTGATTACATTTTCCATAAATTTTTAGTGGATTTTGGGAGGAATATTTTCAATCGCTTCTGTAATGTTGTTCAGCTGCTCTACAGTATTTGGGTTGTTGGCTATACTATCCCCATAAAAAAGTCAGGAGCCGTTATAATCGAGAAATTAAACGTCCCGGAAATATTGTTCGCAAAAGATTCATTGTTTCCCTAGCTGTGTGACATGCTGTTCCGTCCTGCTGGAACCACATGTTTTGCAGGTTAAATTGTTCGATTTGAGGAGCCAGAAAGTTTTGCATCCGGTAGCGCTCGCCAGTGACAGTAAGAGAATTACCTGCAGCGTCTTCAAAGAAGTAAGGTCCAATGACACTTCCATATCAAACACTGCACCAAACTATGACTCGACGAGGATGTAGTGATCGTTTATGGATGACACGAGGGTTCTCTAATTCCCAGATACGATAATTCTGCTTATTAACAAATCCGTTCATATCACTCATTATCAGTTGTCGGTAAAAATCGTTATTTTGTGTATTAAGCTGCAATCTTGCATGACTATGTTGTCGGCGACTTTCATGGTCACTAGTCTGTAGTTATTGGGTTAACTGAATTTTCTTTGGCCGCCATTGCAAGTCTTTTTTTGAAATAGTGCATAATGACGTGCGACGAATACCCAGTTCTGGAGAACGATGTCTGGTAGACGTCTCAGGGCGCTCCACTACACTTTCACGTACTCTCTAGATATTTTCCGGAGTACAAACACTTTGAACACTGTCCGACCTTGGCAAGTCTTCACCTGTTTGTTCAAATTTTCGCATTAACTGACACTGCGCACATTATTTCGACCGAAATCTTGTCGTAGCTTCCGAGAATCGTCACCACAATAGACTCATTAATTAAGTAAAACGTTTTAACAATACGAACGCGTTATGGGGTCGTGTAGCGCTCTATGATGAGTTGCACACATGTGCTTTAAACAATTACTACGGTGCCACGTACTGAAATGCATTTATCAAAAATGGCGCGCAATTTGGATCAGTCATTTATGTATTGGACACCCTGTATAAACGCATATTTAACATTGTTAGTAATGGATTATCTAACGCATGTCCCTGTTTTATTTTGTTTCCGTTTTTTTTTTGATAAAAATGTTTACGAACGGCTATCTAATATTCGTAAGCTATTATATAAAGAATTCAATGTCAAATTGATATCTTCTACAAAAACAAGATTAATTGCTAAAAAGTAAAATTTATTAGAAATATTTGCGCTTGCATTCCAAAAATATCGATAGGAATTCTTATCAGTTGTTTACAAAAACATATAGATACATTTTATTGAAAAACATGCATTTTTAACTTTTCTACCAATGAAAATGCTAATATGATAGCGATTCTTTTAAAAATGAAATTCATAACAGCTCCACCATATTCCTATATGCATTCATCATTAGTCAAATTTTGCGTTACTATATCGACTGCTGACCAGTTTCTCACCAATATGAGTATGCAATCATTTTCTTTTTTTGCCATTATCTACTTCGACCAGTATTATCTGGTTTGGATTAATCATAGTAACAACTGATGAACTGGAATGAGAAAAGTTCATGTGTTTTCACATCAATTTTACAGATAAGAGTTTACAAAGTAATTTTAAAATACACTGAAAATCAAAGTTGTCAGGCTAGAATAGTAGTATAGTTGTAGTCACCGTTCTTGGCGGATCAAAGTAAGACTACAAGTATCCTTTTTATAATATATCTCCATCTCCCTCATACATACACATGCAACCTACCACTGTGTGTGAACGTTTGTTCGGTAAGCTCGAAGACATATGTCGAATATACGTTTTTTAGTTGTGTGTCTCCGTCTCAAAAACTTTGTGGTTACGTATGAGTACCAGAGTGACAACTTACTCGACATCGGCGTGCAATTCAAGTTGTCCTGTCATCAATCTTCAAAATAAAATTACCCAATGCTCGGAAATACGACCAATGGAGAAGGCCGACAGCTCGTGCTAAATTTATTAGAGTATTTCCAGGAAGAGAATGAAAACAGCGGTCCCCTGTTACCCACTTCATGCCTACTGCTGGAGAGAGTAGCAGATGTGCTGACGTTGATGACGTAACCGCCAAGAACGGTGACTGCACCTATACCACTCTGCACTTAAATCAGTCTTGTCCCCATATACCTACGTTTCTCAGTCCGAGAGGAAGCCGGTGCATGCCAGGGAGCTATGTCTAGGTAGCTGTGACCGCCATATTTATTTTTAACAGCAAATCCGGGGTTCCGCTCGCATGGTAGTAGTCTGGAATATGTCATTCGTTTTGCATTAGTGTGAAGGAGATTGATTTCGGAGAAAGAAATGTCAAATGAAAATTTACCCGATCTGAAAATGACCTTGAAGGTCATGGTCAGATTCATTTGCAACTTAAAATTGCCCTGAATTTGCATTTAAGGAATCAAAGATATTTCAGGTCAAAAATTCATTTGGTCTTCAAATAACCTTGATGGTCATAGACAAAGTTATGGAGATTCTTGAACACAAAGTTTGTGGGGGAGGGGGGAGATTTCCATTTAGTAAAACGGTACTGACCTTCAAATGAACTTGAAGACCATAGTCACGGTCTTTTTAAACCTTCATTACACAATGATTTTCCTTATGAAACGTACTTTTCGAGATATATTGTCTTACTCCTACTTTGTGGATACCCTCAAATACACAAGATCATGGTCAAGGTTATGGGCAAAGTTATACTTTTAACCGGGGAATTATAATAATAATAATAATAATTTATTAGTCCTGTATGATCACGGATGTGATATAGAATAATTCAGTCAGAGCACTACAAAAGCTAATAACAAATCATGTTAGTGTGGACGCACACATATTCGTACCACATATGGCATATTCCAAATATGGATACAGATAAATCAAATTAGCTTATTGATAAAATTTATAAATATAAAACATATATGTATATATAAAAAAGCGAAATAAAGGACAAACCATTAAGTGACATTCAAACAACAATGATCAAAATCAAACAAGACATTCACACATTAAAAATTCCCCAATAGAGTAAAAAGCTTTCTCCAGTAAAAACTGTTTGACTGTTCTTTTAAAAGTGTTCAGTGGTTGTGATTTCAAATTGTTGGGGAGTCTGTTGAAAAACTTAATAGCCATGTATCTAGGGCTCTCCTCCGTTCTCGCCAATCTATGCGACGGCACCTCCAATACTTGACTGTTCCTTGTAAAGTAAGCACCAGTGCTTACAGAATTGAACTTGCTCAATTGTGTTTTAGCAAGGATAAGTATATTGAGTATATATACAGATGGTAAGGTTAAAATCTTTAATGTTCTAAATGAATCCTTGCAGCTAGTGAGCTAGCTATTACTCGAACAGCATTTTTCTGCAACACAAAAAGTCTTTGCAGCTGGGACGATGCGCCCCATGCTTCTATTCCATAAATTAGGACTGAATGGATATGTGCATGGTATAATATCAGTAATATCCACTTCTCTACAACAAAACTTAACTGGTACAGACAGTAACAGAGTGGGGCGATGTTTTGGCTACTTTTCTCAGTATGCGTATCCCATCTACAATTTTGAGATATATACCGCTATTAACATTTCCGGTTTCAAAAATAGAGATTTTATTTAAAAAATCCTATGAAGACCTTCAAATGACCTTGAAGTTCATAGTCAAGATCATCAGATGAATCTTTTCAAACCTTACAACTTGTTCTTCAACATTTTCTCTTGGAAACGTATTTTCGAGATATACTGACCTATCCATGCTTTTCGAAGGCCTTCCGCAGGTCCAATTTGTAAGTGAAAAGATTCTTAAGTCTCTCCATAGTATGGTTCAAACATGACGCCGGCAAACTGGACAGACATTTATATTTAGATAAAAAGAGCGGAAATCTTTTGGCTGGTTCAACTGCTTTGCCAAGACTGTCCGTTGACAAAAATACGTAGGGCATGGCATACATTTTGTCATACGAAAAAACTCTGTACCTTGTTTTTCAAAATAATTTCCTTTATATTGAATACACTCCACCATAAGCAAGAATCAATCATCAAATCAGCTGTTCCATTGATCGCTATTATGCTAAGATACCAATCTGTGCAAACTCTGAGATTTTTGTCACCGCCAAAAAAAGCATGGCGGGACAATTGTATTGCAGGTAGTGATGAACAGCATCGATGTTGCTGCTGATTCCGCAGATGTCCATTATTCTTAGCACTCGAGGGATTCATAATTATTTTCTTTATTGGGGAAGATATCCGACTGCGTAGGTTAGGTGTTGAAACATGCGGAACATTCTTAAGGCACCCTGGAAAAATCTAGCGTGTGGTAGCACCACGGTCGACTGCTCCTTGTCTACCACCTTCTTTTGCGTGTTAATGATGTTAAATAGATCTAAATCTAAAATTTCCGGAACAAGCATTTGCCACGGGCCCGCTCAGTTTTGGAAATTAGAGTTAACTTTTAGTCACCTGGGACGATTGCTTTTGTAGTACAATTCTCCCCAGATTAACATCTGTACAGCATTTTACTTTGTCTCACTTTTGTCATGCTCTGTACGCCAGTTGATGTGTGAGGTACTCCGAACGGGTTTTTTAACTATTAAATGATAGTAAATAATTTTCCAAATAAGTCAATCAGAAATATTCGAGTAGTGATGGATTGGCGGATCTAGGATCTCTGGGGCCCGAAGCACAAGGAATATACATTTTGTCTATTTTGTAACTCTCATATACCGCGATCCGGCCTTGTGCGTCATCGTAGATCCGCATCTGATATTCAGGGTTTCTTTAATACGTCATATTCTTGTTGAGAGTAGAACTATTTATGGAGGCTGAAGAGTCGCATGGTGAACATTGTGCTGATAATGATTTCGCAACATATTGATAAGTTATATCTATATACAGGGTGACTTTGAAGTTGAGTCATTAATTTTCAGATAATGATTGTAGAAGGAAGATAAACCAAAATATGTGTGTAAAAATAAAAAAAAAATAAAAAAAAAATGTTACCTTGTTTAATAAAGTATCCTCCCGACAAGTATTTCAGTGCGGACCTGTATTTGATCGTGCGGTCTTGGAGCAGCATGCCCTCACCTGTGAGGTCTTAAGTCACCTGATTCACGAGCCCTTTGCACTACATTGACAAAGGCACGAGGGGTTGGTTGCACTCGATTGGGAAACCGATTCGCATAAATCCGTGATGCATCCGGGAGCATTTTGTAAAGACTGCCCCTCCGTAAATAAGAATCATGTCCACAAGTTCAGCATTTTCGTAAACATGTGCCATTTTTGATTTCGTTTGAGCCACGCAACACACTACTATTCACTCAGGATTTATCGACTGACGAAAAACATCGTGATAAACGTTTCAAATTCTTTCGCTTTTTTGTTTCCGATGCGATGAACCGGTCAGGCGGATTATATCCGTTGTCGCCAAACACGAGCATATAATAGGCAGGGCGGTACTCAAACTTCCAAAGGGCTATAACTTTGTTACTTTAATTTTACCAGAAAAATGGTGAAGGAAAAAAACATTTCTTTTGATCAGATCTACTCACTGTTAAAATAAATGACTCAACTTCGAAATTCATGATTCACATTTCAAGCGAAACCAATCATTGTGACTGAAAATTTTGCAATTCGCTTTATTACTAGATTACTACTACTATGTCCATTTCAAAACTGATACGTAATAAGTAAGAGCAAATACGTAGATGAAGCGTAGATCTTAAAATTTCAATACAATGTCTGCCTTCTGGCTATGAAGAGGGCCGAAGTTACAAAGCCCCTCCTGTTGTTCTTAGAAAATAATAAAATGTGCAATAAAATGTATTTAAGATATTTCGTTAAAAATATATAGATATATATTTTTTAAATGGAATGTTCAATATTTCATTACATATCTGAATAGATATTGAATAAGCGATTGAATGTACAAAGGTTTGACAGCCTGCCAGTCCGCCATTTTATATTCTAGGGTTGTAAAGTATATTCATAAGGGGTATCAAAAATGAGCTATCACATGACCCCCTATTTTATTTTAAATAAGATGTTCTAATATGGCGCCCATCCACCATTTTAGATTTTTAACCTCCACGTTTACGTTAAAATATAGTTCCTATTTATGTATTAATTTCATCTGCTCGAATATTAGCTTACTAAGGTTCGCATTCAAAGTTCAAACAGTAAGGAGGGGGGGGGGGGTGAAAAGCATTTTATACCATATTATGACATCTGACTTTCAGGCAAGGTGAAACGTTCCATCATGGGTCCAACCGCAACCAGTAGCAGGCGTTTCTGCTATGCTGTTGCCAGCGCGGCAAAGTTGTCATTTGCAATCGGTCTTTGAAGTCGTTAAAGGTGTTTGGCCATTGAGGGGAAGGGAAGCGAATAGGTGAGAGGCGACCGTCTTCCTCTGAATTCGTTTGCACACAATCAAATAAGAACCTGTGGGCTCCCATTCGTCTCAGTTGGCAAACATCGAGTGCCAGACTGCAAGCATTAAAACGTACTTTTACGGTTGGTCAGAGAAATTCTCTTATTCTTGAAATATTTAACGACGCATTTGGTAGTATTGACGTTTGTTCTTTGATTCACAAGGTACCATTATCGGATGATAATTCTGGGCGTGCGAAATCTAACCCCATCGAGTATAGGTCGAATACGTAAACATGACAAGGAAATCCGATAACGCGCTGAAAAATGTGCGAGATATGGGTGTGTGTAAAACGAAAAATGACGTTCACAATTTAGAGATAATTCGTTATATTAATTAGGTTGATAAGATTTGTTAAATATAAATATACGGTTAATTATCAAACATCTTATGATCTCTTATCGTTTTCCTGTAATATTTGGTTGTTGGTGTTTTTATCGTTGCCTGCAAGGAATGAGTGCTGGGCAACTCGGTAACTCATCAAGTTTTTTAAAAAGTAGTTCCAGTGTAATGCAAGAGAAAATAAAATATACAGTGTTGGTCAAAGTCGTTACTTCTCTTAGATTTACATGTGTTCTAACACGCTTTTCTCTCTCGTGCACATGGAAATTTTAAAGGGAAAACGATTTTGGCCTGCACTGTATATTATAGTTCTGTATATACATCACTAAAATGCAACAGCTAGTTGCTTGCGGTTTTCTGAAAATAGTGGTCGAAGATGCTTATTGTCCATACTTTTTAAAACTTAAAAAAATATGATTTACGAAGGCTATATAGCTTTTTATTGCAGACATTCCGTCAAAAATGCGTTATTTTCGAAAACAAACATAAGTTTTGCGAATTACTGGG